CGCTCATAATGAAACAACGGATATAAGTGCACTTGCACTCCATAAGCGCAATGGGCCAAATAAAGGGATGCGCCTATATCCGGGGGATTACGGTACATCCCGCGCGAAGTCGGCCGAGCTGACCTCAACTACGTTATCACCTTCGTCGATGCCGCGACAAGATACACTTGGCATCTTAAGCTACCGTCACGCGACCTCGCTTTCTCCGCCTTCGTCGCTTGGCTTGCTGCAGCAGAATGGGAGGGAGACACGAAGCTGAAATGTTTTCAGTCAGACGGAGCGATGGAATACCAGTCACAACACTTCAGGGACTACCTCGTTGAGAGAGGAATCAAGAGGCTCGTCACCCTTCCCTATGCTCAGCAACAAAATGGTGTAACAGAAAGGATGAACCGAACCCTCTAGAACACCATGCAAAAACTGCTGACTGGGATGCGACTACCCAACTCGTAGTGGCCGGAGGCGATGAATCACGCCGTCATGCTGCAGAATTTTCTGTCGTCAAGCTCCCTGCCAAACAATGCATCACCGCATCTGCTGTGGACAGGGAAGCAGGGCAGCACAAGTACTGCTGCATGGTACAGTACTGTCCACACACTGCAAGAGCTGGACGATTTTCGCAGCGGGCAAGATGGGGTCTACACCTTGGTGTGGAAAGTCATTACAAAGAATGGAAGATCTTCGACGTGGAACATAAGGAAACAGTATCGGCACGTGACGTCATTTTCTACAAGAACCTGACCCTCAACCATTACTTGGACAACATCGCAGCCAATCGAGACCCATCCGGTGGCTTTGTTCGAGCACGCGCGTTCGCTTCGACCGAAGAAGAAGCTGACCTGGAGGAGCAGAACATCCCCGACGCGTCAGCAACTGAGGGACCACTTCTCTACTGCTCCGTCGACATGCAGATGGACGAAGACAATCCTTGCGAAAGCGCGAATGCCGAAGCATACTACCACTTTGCCGACACTCGTTACGTAACACCCCACAGCGTCGACACCAATGTTTCATAACAGGTAGGACCAGGTTTCGTACCTGATCTTGAAGCGGGGGACGAGGCTGATTATCCCGAGGATCCAACACTCCCCCACTACACCGAGACTGGTCTGCAAATCCTCGGCCTTGTAGCAGCCGTGCACCCTCCGCAGCCGCCGCCAGTCGAAGAGCCGAAGACTGTCAAGCACGCACTACAAGGACCACACAGGGAGAAATAGAGGAAGGCAATGGATCGGAAACTAGCGGCACTGCACGAACGCAACACGTGGAAATTGATCCCAATTTTTCACACTAAGGGAAAGACGGTCCCATCCGGGAAATGGGTCTTCCGCATCAAGACCAAGGGAGACGGGACCATCGAACGCTTCAAGGCATGATGGGTGGTTTGCGGATTCGACCAGCAGTACGGTAGCGACTACACCGAGACATTCGCTCCCATCAGCCGCCACACTTCGCTTCGAATTCTCCTCGCCATCGCCGACGCTCGCCGCCTTCCTCTGCGACAAATCAACGTCGCCACTGCGTTCCTGTATGCCCCGGTCAACGCCGACATCTTCGTCGAGCAACCCCACGCCTATGTTGACGACCCAACATTGGTCTGCCAGCTCCTCAAATCCCTCTACGGGATCAATGAGGTCCCACGCCTGTGGCGGCAGTACCTGCACCGCATCCTCACCGACATGGGCTTTGCCCAGCTACCGCACGATCAGGGCATGTACCGCCTGTCACGCAGCGGCGACTATGTCCTGCTGATCGTCTACGTGGACGACCTGCTTTACGTTGGCTCCACCACTTCCATCACGGTCTGGTTCGAAGGCGAGTTGGAACTCCAGCTTACGATCACGATGTCGCAGACCGTGACGCAGAACCTTGGCCTCAACATCATCGACGGCCCCGACACCATCCACTTCTCGGCCTCGAAGTACGCCATCACCATCACTCGCAGATTCAATCTATCCCCGCTACCCCTTGCTACTCCATACACCTACGCGTCGCCAGCACCCGCGTCAACCGCCTCGCCTCTCACAACAGCCAGGATCCAGGAGTACCAGCAGAAGCTAGGCTGTCTACTATTCGCCGCCATCACCTACCGTCCTGATCTCTCCTACGCCGCTAGCCAGCTTGCTACCTCCCTTAAGCGTTCTGAATGGGGGAACCTGCAGGAACTCGATCGTGTGCTCCACTACTTCATCTCGACCCCGACGATCGACCTGACCTACCACAAGAACGTTGCTACCAAGATTGAACTTATCGGCTATGTGATGTCGATCACGCCGACGACAAGGACAACTACCGCTCATGCACGGGCTACATGTACCATCTGGAACATATTGGCACGATTTCCTGGCACTCAGGAAAGCATGAACTATTCGCTCTCTCATCCGCTGAAGCATTATATCTCGCCCTCTGCACAACCACGAAGATAGGACTGTACATGTGCGAGCTGCTCGAAAAAGCGAAGATTGCCAAGTTACCGATCTTCTCTCTCTTCTGCGACAACCAATCGGCAATCGGAATCGCCAACTTAAACTGATCCGCGAGCAGGACGAAGCACATCTCACTTCGTTACTTCTTCGTGAAGGACGAGATCGAGCAAGGCCACCTCCAATTGGTCTACTGCCCCACCACTGAAATGGCAGTCGACTACTCGACTACTCCAGTATTGCATGCTGCTGACTGGACTGCAACACGTCAGCAACTTCAACCACATCGACACTCCAAAAATGAAGGAGGGTGTTGGAAATGATAAAAGGACCTAGGCATTTCCGGAGTCTCGCGTGAATGTACGAATACGCGAAGACTACAACAACGAGGATTACTGAGTCAACATCACTACAATACTACCCACACTTGACGTGGGTTGACGACACCCCGCAGAGGCTACGAAAGGGCAACAGTCGCACACCGTTGACCATGCAACCCAACAGTCAGAATCGCAAGAGCCAATGTAAGCGCGACAGAAGGACAAATAAGCGTCCCAATATTAGAGTACGGGTGGTTACCCAAGTCGCCTTATCGAGTCGTAAAAGGGAATGTACCCCTCGAAGTGCAAAACAGTTAGATTCTTCATATTCTCTTGTGTTATTATATAAACCTTGTATCCCTTTGCTATAATCAATCACTTGTTCTCACGTACCACTATAAGGGTTCAAACCAAGACTTCCCGCTGTGCTATCAAGCACTCTGTTACAAGGACGTAGCATTCTGAAAAGATCCTAGGGCTATTCTCAGCCCAACACCTTCTACGAACCTGTTCGATCACGCAGCTAGGATTGCTTTGGTGTTCCTATATCTTGCTTTGTCATTCCATTGAACTAAATTTGGTTATTCTGAACCTCGACAATTGATTCCGCGTTACTCTGATTAAACACTCTTAACAGCTGGTATTTAGAGCTACTTTCCTGACCTACCCGATTTCGTAGGTGGAAAACCTTTTTTGAGGAGGGGAGTGATTCACTCACAGAGCTGCAAAGCGGTCAGCCGTGAATTAGACGAATTAGTTCGCCCAACTACGATAGCGTTTGCACTCTTACCTGAGCACGGGTAATCACACGCATTCTCCTCCCCACCTGGCGTACGCCACATGGACCAGGCATAGTTTGACGAGTTGATGGCAAAATTAGCAGCCACGAAGGCTCGCGTGACAGTTGTGCTAGACGACAACGAAAATTTTCGCGCGAAGTTACCGAACTTCGCCAGGCGCAAGATTCTACGCACCAGAAATCGCCCGCCCCCGAGGACGCCGCCAGCACTGGACGTGTCGAAACAGTATTGGATGAAATGGCATGCGAAGTGTCGCAGGAGCGCCGTGATGATGAAGCTGAAGCAACAACGAATGCCGCCACACATGCCACGGCAGCTGCAGCAGCTGCGACAACGGCCGCCACCCGCTCCGAAGTAGCAGCAACCGTTTCTGCAGCAGCCGCAGCCACGCCAACTGTACCAGTGGCCAGCATAAAGCTATCGATGCCGCCCCTATTTAACCCCATGGACAAAAACACCACCATCACAGGTTGGCTTTCTGCGATGGAGCTTTATTTTACTGCCGTCGGAATTACTGTTGATGATTTAAAAATGAAGCTGGCTATTTCACTATTGAGGGTACCGGCAATAGATTGGTGGCAAATGACACTAAGTGAGACGTGGACTTCGGCAGGGAACACTCAGGGTTTTTTTTCGGGAGTTCGGAATCTGCTGCTCGAAACACAACGTCAATTTTTGGAGCGACCGAGATTCGCATGTGGAAAGCGTGGGGTACAACTCTGCGTGAACGTTTCGAGCCCATATCCGCCTCAAACAACGCACGCACGAACCTGGACACTTGGTGCCAGTTGACCTCTGTCCAGAATTACGCGTCATCATTTCAGGCACTATGCGAATAAATCACCGACCTATCAAAGGCCGAGAAAAAACAGTGGTTCATCACTGGGCTCAAATCTGACGTTCGTTACGAAGTGCGGATGCGACGCCCAACGACATTCCAGAAAGCAGTGGTTCCCGGGAGGGAAATCGTTTTCATGGCCAGGATCAACGACCCTCGATCAACGGCATAGTGGCGAATGACGAGGATCGCAAGAAGCGACAGTGTTTTCACTGCCACCAACCGGATCACCGATATGCTGACTGCCCTGACCGGAAGCAGAGGAAAAACAACGATGGGGATAAGTCGGGAAACGACTCTCGTCAGTAGCAGACGGGCCCACTACTAACACGGCTGCATCGCCAGAGAAACAGCATCTCCACTAGGTAGTGGTACCGGTACATGCTATGGACCTCTCTCGGACGAATAACCAGGGATGAATCTGTGGATCACCCTGTGTTGGTGGAAGGAAGGGCTAACGATAAAAAAACTGAAAATCTTCATCGATGGTGGTGGGAGCCACAGCCTGATTCACCGACCGACAGAGAAAAATATGAACTTACCCCTGGAGCGGTGTCTGCCCGAGATCGATTCCCGATTGGTCGACGGCACCCCACTGGCAATACGCGATCGCGTGCGAACAGTTCGCATGAAGTGCGGTGACAATTTCGGTTTCAGCGTGCCGATGCTGTTGACGACACTCGATGGCTACAATGTGCTGATGGGACGAGATTGGCTTCGGCGACACAACCCGCAGATCAATTGGACGACAGGCGAGTGCACAGTCAAGTGTGCGAATGGTCGGCGGATATTGCCAAAATGGCGAGGAGCAAAGCCAATAATGATACGCGTCAATGCCATCATGCTGACACGCGCGGCCAAGAAAGGCGCGGAATTGTACGACGTCCATCTGAAGGAATCAATGACGAGGATCAAGCGGCCGACATCGATAAGCTCTGTGCAGCAGTCCTCGAAGATCTGGCAAAACTGATTCGACAGTTCCTAGATGTTTTTGCCACCCGGCCTACTACCAGAACGCCCTCAGGACCATCTCATCGAACTCGCACCTGGCGCGCAGCCAAGTGTCCGGACACAGTGACGGTTGACGCAACCCGAGCACTTGAAACTATGGGACCAGCTGGATTTTCTGCTGGCCAAAGGGTTCGTTTGACTGAGTACGTCCTAGTTCGCCGCCAAGAAAGATGGGGGCTTCTGAATGTGCATCGATTACCGCGCCCTTAATCGGGTTACGATAAAGTCTCGCTACCCAATCCCGCGTGCTGACGAACTGATTGACCAGCTGCGAGGCGCTCGCTACAGTATTTCTCGAAGATCGACCTTTGCGGCAGTTACCACCAGACTCGAGTCTTCGCCGACGATTGCCACAAGACCGCGTTTCGTACTCACTACGGGAGTTACGAATACACCGCCATGCGGTTTGGGTTAATTAATGCCCCCTCGACGTTCCTGCTGACGATGAACGAGGTCTTTCGGGATCTACTTGATAAATGTGTGATCATTTATCTGGATGATATCTTGATTTACAGCACGACACGGGAGCATCACCTAAAGGACCTAGAAGCAGTTTTTAAGCGCATGCAGAAGAATTGTCTCATCGCCACAGGCTTTAAGTGCAAGTTTTTTAAACCCAAACTAGAGTTTTGGGGGCACGTTATTTCGACGGAAGGCGTGAAAATTGACCCCCGCAAAATTCGGGCAATTCAGGAATGGAGGCCGCCGACCAACCTCAAGGAGCTGCAATCGTTTTTTGGGTTTGTCAATTTTGTGCGGTGGTTTATCCCCAACATGGCAGGTTAAATGGAGCACTAACTGACCTACTTCAAAAGGGAGTTGATTATCAGTGGGGGGAGAGGCAGAAAGCTGTGTTTAACGGATTAAAAAATGTTTTAATCTCGCAAACAGTACTTCGGATTGCTGACCCAGAACGACCATTCGAGGTCGTGACAGACAAAAGTGACATCGCAATCGGAGCAGTTGTGCTACAGGATTTTGGCGACGGCCTTCAGCCAACCCCGTACGAGTCGCGAAAGTTATAGTCGGCCGAGCAAAATTATCTCGTACACGATAAAGAAATGCTGGCGATCGTGCACGCGTTCAAGATGTGGCGATGCTACTTGACGGGAGCCGACGTGACTGTACGAACAGATCACAAATCTCTACAGTACCTGCGAACGCAGCCGAATCTCAACCCGCGGCAGATTCGCTGGTTGGATTACCTGGAGTCGAACTTCACGTATCGAATCATGTACAAGAAGGGTGCCAACAACATTGCTGACGCCCTCTCCAGACCATCTGCCCAAAACGTTGTTGTTCTAATCGCCCAGACGAACCCGTTGCAGAGTACCCACGGATATTCGACTGGTCCTTTTTTCGTAAACAACGGCCACCAGCAAGTCATGACCGCGCGGGGAGCCTATTACGTAAAAGAGGGAATGGAACAAATTTGGGTTCCGAGTTATCGTCTACTTCGCGAATCACTAATTCAATAAGTACACGATTCGAACTTATCATGATATTCCGGGGTTGACAAGACTCTGAAGGCACTGCAACGGTTTTAATACTGGCCCGACTATTTTCGGGCGTGCAAAAGTACACTGGCGGAAAGTATTGCCCGGATAAAATCCCCTTTTAGGTTCAAATAATGATTCGATTACATTTAACCGAGGTATCGCTGCATCTTCGAAGCTGTGTTGTAAGTACCGACTGCAAGTTGCATTGGGGTAACACCTTCGCGATTTGAAGGGGTCGCTCTAATAGCGTGGACAAGATTTCAGTCACGTGAGTGCATCCGGACAGTTTCGGCCAAGCAGCGGACTAGATCCGTTTTCGAGTACCGCATACTCTCCATAGTTTCTACCGCAACTTTCGATTAGTCAGGATACAGTTTATATCCAAGGCTTTGACTAGGCCAAGATGAGACCGATAGATGAGGCTCGTCGCGCCCGGATCATAACTCTGTTGCGTAGGGGGTACAGCACGAGGCGAATCGCGAAGGAGGTTGGCGTAGGGAAAAGCACAGTACACGATGTTGGACTCAAGGCGATTTCAGAGACTAGTCACGAGGATGTGCGTCCTTCAATGCCCACTGCTGGTCGTCCACGTGTAATCACGAATAGAATCCGTCGTGGGATCGTCAGGGCGATTACTAGCGGCGAGGCGAAAACCTCGAGGCATGCGGCCCAGATCGTCGAATCCCAGCACGGCATTACGGTGCATCTTAGGACGGTGCGTAATGCGCTCAAATCCAGCGGCCTTGTCGCAGTCCAGCAGCCTAAGAAGTCGCGACTCTCCAAGAAAAATATCTGCGATAGGCTGGAGTTCGCATGGGCCCACGCTGATTGGACCATAGAGGATTGGAGACGGGTGATCTGGTCGGATGAGACGAGGATCAGTAGGTTCTGCTCTGACGGCCGCGCGTACGCCTGGGTTCGTGAAGGTACGACTCTCCAACACCACCAGATTAAGCAAACCGTCAAACACGAGGGCAGCGGCTTGATGATCTAGGGCTGTATGACGTCTGAGGGGGCGGGTTTCATGTGCAAAATCGATGGTCGGATGGACGGGCCGCTGTATCTGAGCATTTTGCAAGACGAACTGAAGAATACCCTCGACTTTTACACGATAACCCCCTCGGATGTGATCTTTCAGCATGATAACGACCCCAAGCATAAGTCCCATGTGGTGCAGCAGTGGCTTCAGGAGCAGGAGTTTGGGGTCCTGGAGTGGCCGGCAGGAAGTCCCGATTTGAACCCCATTGAGCATCTTTGGGCTCATCTTAAAAGGGAGCTGGCTAAGCATGAGACACCTCCCACTGGTATGGTGGACCTGTGGGAGCGTGTACAAGAGGAATGGGAGAAGATCCCATCAGAGGTGTGCTCCAATTTGATTAACAGCATGCCCAAGAGGGTGAATGCAGTGATTAAGGCTTAAGGGCAGTGGACCAGGTACTAGTTTAAGGGTTGTTTAAGTTCCTGCTTCCGCCTGGAACTAATTGTCCGGATGCACCGTGATCGGTTATGTCTGCTTTTTACTGTTAACGATAGTGGTTTCATCAAATGTGAAGCATTGTTTTGTGTCCCTAGATTGGCCTGCATATACTGGGTAAGGCCTCCAATTAAGGCTTAATGTACACATGCCTTTTAACGGCCAAAATGCTGAAAATTGCAAAACATGTGGACAATTCTTTCCGCTTATGTACGTGGGCGCATGTCTGACCTGCCAGACGATGAAATCATCACGCCGACGGTAAGCACGACTGTTACAGCCCCTCGAGCCACCTCATCGACCTTGGCAATACGTGACAATGGATTTTGTTACCGGCCTGCCGACCGAACCAAGTGGAAATTACGCGATCCTTGTGGTCGTCGAGTGACTCACGAAAATGGCTTAATTTGCGCCATGTCGCACGACGATCACAGCCGAAGAAACCGCGCGTCTGTTCGTCTCGGTCGTCGTTCGCCTGCATGGTATCCTTGCAACGGTCATCAGCGGCAGAGATCCGAAATTCACCTCGCGCTTTTGGCAAGAAACGTGGAAATGATACGGCACCCGCCCACAGTCCTCATCCGCCTATCACCCGCAAACCGACCGTCAGATATAACAGACGAATCAGACCATCGAACCGTTGATTCGCACGAACTGCCCCGATATCAGCAAATGGGAAGATTTGCTACCCATGCTCGACTTTTTCTACAACAATGCACCATCTGCCACGACTAATCATTCGCCCCTTTTCCTGAATCACGGGATGGATCCGAAAGCCAAGTCCCCCGTTCGTAGCAGTTCGTCGAAGACCTTCAAATCGGTCGCACGAAAGCCATCGAATATATCTGAAAAGCCAATGTTACTGTCCGCCAATACGTCGACTGCCACAGACAGGATATTACATTGACAGCAGGTAAACTAGTCCACATTGACACAAAAAACCTTCGCCTGCAGATACCGCCAAAACTCTGACCCTGCTGCTGTGGTCCATTCAGCATCATCAAAATGATAACGCCAGTAACCGCCAAACTCCGCCTGCCCGACGATTGGAAAATTCATAATTCATTCCATGTCAGCCTCCTTCGTCCCTTTGTGGCCGACACGTTAAACGTCGCCCGACGACCGATCGCCCGGGATCTACGGCTAGCCGAGGAGACGCTCATCAAACCAGCGAAGATCCTGAGCCATCGCATACGAATCAACGGTCAGGAACGACACGTTGACTTTCTGATACGATGGAATCATCGTACCCGTGAGGACGACACGTGGGTTCCCTCGGTATAAGTATAGTTACCTACTGTACTCCGGGATTATTTATCCCGCAAGCACGTAGGAAATATAGACCACCTTCGTTAGAGGGTAGTGTAAGGAATTTTCCATTCCTTAGCGCGCCGCACCACTAGCGCGTACACCAAACCCCACACGGCACCGACATCTGCCCTAGCTTCGGCCCGAACACGGCACTGAACCATTTCCGCGTCACTCTGAAGCTCTCCGCGTCCTCGGATGCCTCTGACGAACTTGTTCGATCACGCGGCTAGGATTGCACTGGTGTTCCTATATCTTGTTTCAGCATTCCATTGTACCACATTCTGTTATTCTTAACCTCGACATTCGATTCCGCGCTACTCTGATTAAACACTCTTAACAACAATGCGCACAGCAGTTGCCCCTAAAGTTTGGCATAGACAAATGGAACAAGGTGCTTCAAACACACAGCCTCAAATGAACAAAACTAGCCAACTTTTGCCACGAGACACATCCCTTCCTTCGAGGTAGTTTCCCAATTCGTCGACTTAAAACCCGCGGCCCAAATTGCGAGGCGCGGCCTTCAAACGCACTGTGTTTGAAAGAAGCGCTTTCGTGGGTGTAGAGTGGGGTAACGTGAGTCTCGCCACTCTGGGGGTGCCTTTTAAGTTCACCGTGTGCTGCAATTTGGAACTCCATGTGTAGCACGTTTTTTTACCGCCCATTTTTCACAGATCTGCATTTGACGTTCCTCACGCAAACTCTTCTTTCCAAAGCACCACCAGTTATTCGGGGATCAATCTCAACCGTCCAAAATCTTGGGGTAGAATCTGACGGTGCACGAACACTTCGTAGTTCACGAGGAAAAACACCCTCGCGATTTCCCCGTGCGTTTCGTTAAACAGCACGCCCAGAGTTCTTACACTGTGCATTTGAACAATTTGGGCTGCGGGTTTTAAAGATGTGGAAGGAAGGAGCATTCGGCTATGGATGAGCCTAAGGAAGACACACCCATACGCCTCCTGCACCTTTCAAAATGGGACTGCTATAATGTAAACAACCGGTAATTTATGCCGTGTAACGAGCTACCTGTGAGTGCATTTGATTTCCTCTGTGAATGTAAAACAGGGCTTATGTTTGCCTAAGAACGGCAAGGAGAAAGTGAGTGAGTACCTACACATACCCTCAATATGTGCGCAAATTTGGAGAACAAAGTGCCAATATCGATGGCTAAATTTTCCGTGGGCAAGTCGAACACTTCTGCTGGGCACCGCCACGAGTCACTTGGGTCTAGCTGGCACACTCTCGAGCGCCAAGTGCGCTGGGAACACCACGTGCCAAGTCTTGCTGGAATTCGAGGGTAACTCATTTCGCGATAAACCTAAACCAATCACTAACCTTGAGACACCTGTCGCAAGCTCTCAGCTTCTCGCGAACGAGCCGCAACTCCCGACCCGCAACATGGTTTCTCCCTCAAAGAAATTCGCCCCGCCTCTACATTCATGATGTTCAAGAAGCGCCTCAATTCTCCCTCTCACACAGGGTGCCGTTCCACGCGGTTTTCTGCGCCTGGCTCGTGTCTGGTTCGCTCTGCCGTTCCCAGCTGCCTCAAGAGATAGCCTCCAGATACTCGTACTCTCTCCACTCCAGGCGGCGCCTCGTTTGGATCTTCAGCTTCTAGCCATGGAGCTCCACTCGCTTCTCCTCAGAGCAGCCGTAGCCTCCCTCTCCGCCCTGCTGCTTCTCTCCACCTTCTCAGCACCGGCGGCTTCTGCTAAGCCCGGCGGGCCACCACGTCCCATGCGCGGATTGGTGGATCTGAACACGGTTCCTGACAATTCCGTGTCGTCGTGGGCGCTGGCAGGCCCGCCCGGGCTGCGCAAGGAGAGCAGTCCTGGGCAGTTCAAGGTGGCAGGGCCTGTGGTCATAAACGTGCTCCGAGTCATCCGCCCGCAGTTCACGCCTATCTTTGTAAGATAAAACACTCAATACCATTCATCACATGATCGCTACATCAAACGATAAATCACAAATCTCAATACAAAAGCACGCAGTCCCGTTTTTCAATCGTATGTTATTCATAACTACCATTCTATGTTGCCTGTGCGCTCCTGATCTTCTCTCTGTGCAGGCCGAGTGGCTGTCCTCCAATCTGACGTCAGATCCTGCCACGTGGAAGGCATTCGTTGCACCACCTGCAGGCCCTAACGAATTTGCGAATCTGACCTTCGAGAACCCTCAGGCGCAGATCTGGGGGGGGCGATTCGCCATCGACAACACCACGAGCGATTACTCCTTCAAGCCCAACAACACCAAGCTGCTCTTCAGCCGCGTGTTGGGCACTTTGCATCGCTCCGATGTGGACAAGTCCAACGTGGTGGTCTCCATTCCCAAGGCCGATGCACCGACGCTCAGCGGCAAGTTCATCCGCCGCGGGAAGATCTTCGAGCTCCTTTCCGGGGGTACCTTCGACGTGCCGCTCCGTAGCCTTGTCGAGGCTCTGGGTGCCCCCACTCTCCCCGGGCCCACCCCGCCAGGAGCAGCGGCAGCGATGCGCGTGAGCCTCAACCTGCAGGGGATTGGGCAGCAGCCTCCCAGCGCCCTGCACCCCTTCCCTGCTCCTAGTGCCCCCGGGATGGAGCCCCCCCCTCTGGCTGGTGTTCCCTCTGGCGCTCCTGCACCCGCTGGCTGTGCCCCTGTGCCTGCTGCTGCCCCTACCTCTGCACCTGCACCTGCCCCTACCCCCACTCCTGCTCCTGCTCCTACTCCTGCCCCTACTCCCACCCCAACCCCTGCTCCCACCCCTGCGCCTGCACCTGCTCCTGGGGCTCCTCCCACTGCCCCTGGCGCTGCTCCTGGTTCTCCTCCCCCCCCTCCCCGCCGCACCCCGCCACGCCGCAACCCACCGCGTGCTCCTCCCACTTCTCCTGGGGCTGCACCAGGGGGTGCTCCCGGGGCACCTCCTGCCATGGAGTAGGTACAGCGGGTGTGCTCCAAGCATCTGTGGTTGTACGACTATATCTCATGTGGTTCTAAACGAGCACTTCGTTTCTTTGTAAAGCCAGTATTCTGCAGAACTGTATGCTCTGTCGCTCAAGGTTTTCAACAGGTCCAACACATGACTAACTTGGATTCCCCTAAGAGCAATCCCTACGCTATGGTGTTGAGTACCAGCATAGGGAAACCCATTCTTGAACACCGTGCTCTGAATACAAGATGGTGTTCGGTCCCAGTAAAGCATGCTTCCCAAGCATGGGCTTGGCAACCAGACGTGCGAAACAAACAGCCACTCTCGAAATGGGAATGACACGCAACATGCAGGCTTTGCATGTGGTTCTGTAAGCGAATGTGATTGTACCGAATAGCAAAAAACCAGGGTGTGTGAGATCATGCAGGTTGACGGTCCAAGTATTGAACGAGGTAAGATTTGTCAGTCACGGTGACCAGGAACGTGTTTGCTTACTGGTACTGAACTCCACTCCATAGGAATGCGCTCTAGCACAATGTGTACGAGGAAGCAGTACACCAAGTACCGTGCGTTCCACTCGAATGCCAAGGACAGTACTGGTAAGTCATACAGTGTGTTCAGCATATCCATAGAGATATCACCCGCCTTGGATTAATGCTTGTGTGTCTCAGCCTTAAATCATCAAGCAACCAGCGAAACCAAGTTGTTGACGAACGTACAGAACACTTTGTCATGCCATGTGCCAGCTCTGGAACAATTGAGGAAGCTGGTTGACATCTATATTAATGACAGGATCCCAGAAGTTGCTGCTAAGCAGAACATCGCGACGTTGGCATCAGGGCAAAGAGTACCCACTGATTAGACATCCCGCGTCTTTGTGGCCTGCTTCGGGCAAGGGCAAGGCCGAAAGATAAGTGGATAGATACCATTAGCCGAAGAAGGTACCTAGCTGAACTCGGAAGGAGAGCGTAGGGAGAGGGGAAGGGAGGCGAATGCAGCTACAGTAACAGTAGTAAAAAAGAAGTATGTAGGAATTGTGAGATGTGCAATGCCAGAAATTATTTATGAGGCGCTTCAAGAGTACTGTGAGATGTGCGATGTGCACTGTCAAGAGAGCTCAGTTCGAGTAGGAGGTTTAAAGAAATTGATTCGTCACGGGCCAGAATGTGGCCTCTTAAGCACTGATCGTCATTGCTCTCCGCACATCAACACATAGCTCTTCATTTATTATTTACGGGAGTACCACGTATTCTTGCAGCAAGTCGCATACCTGGAGCACTCATAGTGAGCCGTGCTGACGTCCGTTTCCTTACGAAATGTCAGGAGCGGCCACGCGCTTTCCCTTGCGTCGGCCGACAAAAAGTCGGTTCAGTGGATGAGCCCAGCATCCGGAGATAGAATCACCTGGAGTCGTAATGGCCTGCAATCGGCGGGGCGAACGGGGACGTAGGATGTCAGTAAGGACGAATCCAAAAACTCCTTGAAAATGTCAGGGGTACCATTAGGTTGTCTCTGTCGGGATAGCGCTAATGAATCTCCCCAACAGGGCCGGTCAAGGACCCTGTGGACCCCCCTCCGCCTATCAGAGCGGACGGGTGAAGTCGCGGGAGCGCGTGCAATCTGTGCGACAGGGAACGAGCACGTTGCGACAGCGGTGATCGCACGACCCAGGACAGGCATGCGGACCCCGTGAAGGGATCGCACGCCGTCGCATGGGGTGCGAGCCGTTCGAGCAACGCACTAGCAAAGTCGCACCTCGAATGATGTACCGAATATAGCCTTTAATAGAGCAGCGATACTGGGACCCCTGGAGAAAGAACGTCGGTACCGGCTCGAGATCAAGAGCATAACGCACCTTTCCACGCGATGCGCCATGTCAGAGTGAACATCGGAACGAAGATTACTCATAGTTGGCTCGAGAGTTGTGATCAGAATCCGCATCGCTGTCTCGCCAGTCTAACCAGCAGACTTGGTTGCTGTCTTGTAGGGTGCTGCTCCCTGGCTTCTGCTCATGCACAAAGCGAATAGAAAATGTTTAGAGAAGAACGACTTCAGCTGAAACAGACAATGGCGGCATTAAAAAAACTACGTATGAACGACTCGTGTGAAATGCCGTGCGCGGTGAACAGACAAAAGTAAATTTAGTCCCATCCCATCAGTTCTCCAAGGTTGTGTCCTCAGTCGGCCGATGGCCATCGGACGCAAATTACCACATCAATTAAATTCATCATCTGGGACTTGCCCGCTCCGGACGTTGAACATAACAGTGGAAACGGCACAGAGAGCTCGAATGTGACACGGGAGCAATGCGTAGCACGTGAATGCAACACAATGTGCGGAATGATAAAATATTGGATCTGGGAGTGGAAGCTCGGGAAGGTCAGATGTGTGGTATGGAATAGTCACACAGGCGGCTCAGAACCACAGCTAAGGTATTGATTGTACATTCCTCACGGTGAAATCGGAGGTCCAGAAACATACGTCATCATTGCCGCAAGTATACGAATAGCCCGATCGAATCGAATGGTTATGTGTAGTGAAAAAAGAAAGTTTCGCATAGAGAGGATGTAACCACGTAAAATGCTTACCAGCATAGACCGGCACCACATTAGGCGACACGACGTCTTCTGATGAGCTTATGAAAGCCTGGAACACATGGCTCAGAGGTGTCTGTCAGCACATGGCTGCAACGGTGATCTCTGTCACCCACACGGCTCATGGCGCATAGTTGACCAAGAAGCCATGTCTGTCAGCCATGAATTCAGAAGCACTCTATTGCCTAGAGGAAAGCTAGGGTGAGGCAGACCTGAGCCAATGGTTCCAGCTCCGTCCTCGCAGCCTGACTGGGGGAATGGCTAGTCTTATGTTCTGAGCAAGAGGGGATGACGCGAGAATGTGAGGAGAATCTGAGACGGGAGAATGTGAGACCGAGTGGGGGAGTCAGCTGGTGATGGGAGAGAGTGGGGGTGGGGGGTTTGCTGATAGCGTTTTGGGATGCGCGAATGCCCAGCAGCGGGAACACGAAATATGTACAAAATGAAAAAGTATACGGGTGGATCAATTATGGATTTTTATATATTGATAAATAATCGTAAAGGTGTAAGGAAAAGCTTCTGTGACCGTAACGTAGCTCGTCGAATGTCGTTAACTTTTGTCGTGGAAGCCGCGAGTCACCAGTCCGATATCGCCACGTCGTCCTCAGTCAAGCCATTCTACTCCAGGGCAGGTCTGAACGGGATGCGCGATTCGAAATGTTGACTCACGCGCTTCGTGCGTCACCCTCAAGCTGACATTTCCGACGCGAATCTTCTTGCGAGTGGCTGGGGAGGAGGTAAGGGATTTCAGCATCAGCGTTGGCCTTCAAGATCTCACCACGCAATTCACTCATCCTATAAAAACGAGGCTCTCCGTTACTTTCAGTGCGATTTATTCTACCATCACATCAGCAAACCAGCAGTTCCTCGGGTTCCCTTCATCTACGCCCTCGCATACCGCTTCAATCAAACTCTCGGAGTTTCCTCACAAGTTCCAAGGTTGAAGTTCAAGCTGACCGCCTGAGTCATCTCCTCCCATCATGGACATTCGGTATCAGGCTGCTCGTGCAATCTGGCTTGCAGCAGCCGCCTTCGCGCTGCTCACCTCCCACGCTGCAGCCGTTATCATTCTCAGCTTCGTTCCCGCCCAGTCCGTCTGCCACGTCACCCTTCAGGGCCTGCCAAGTGGCATCACAGCGGAGCTCAATCCCAGCTCCATCAATCTGGTTGGTCAGATCAATCTGCGTGACTCAGCAGACAACACGTCAGACACAGGTGTGGTGACGTGGCAGTCAGCCACTGCGAACTCGCGCCCAGATGAAATCACAGCCGTCCTTTCAGCTGCAATGGGTGGCGTTCCCCTCGCCACAATCACGGTTATGCAGCCAGTATTGGAGATTTCAGGTAAGCAACGCTGTCACTACCATAATATGGTCTTATAGTAATCACAGTGTTCGGCTATTTCCCTCATCTCCTACCCATCTTTCCTACCTCTTACTCTCCTCACCTGTCTTTTGCGTTTCCTTCCCAATAGGAGGCGAGTTTCAGCCTTCCCCAGACGGCACCTTCACCGTCACACCCAGCCAGTTGGTGCTGCGCGCCAGTAGCCTCACAGGCAGCTTCCTTGGCTCCAACCTGAATGAGGCGGATGTGACTGTATCGGCGCCCCAGGGGGCCCTGCCTGCAGTGAGCGGGCAGCTCACCAGGCGCATGTCCCAGTACCGCCTCACCCTGCAGGCCTCCGTCTCTGTCCCTGTCAGGTAAAGGCACCTCAGAATCAGGAACGCCCTGCCTGCAGTGAGTAGGTAGCTCACCCTGCAGGCATCTGCCTCTGTCTCCGTTAGGTAAGTCACGCCCCAGCAGCATCAGGAGTGGAAGGCACAATGACACCAGCAAAACATGGCAAAAAGGCCAAACATAGTAATTTTGTCTCACTTCTTTGCACTCCTCTTTCCCATCCCAAACCTCCCCCCTCTCCCCCTACCCCACCCCTCCACCACCCCTTCAGCTCTGTTCTTGCTGACTCTGGAGCAAGCGCCTCTGCCATATCAGCAGCAGCAGATGCCCGGGTATTGGTCGAGGTAAGGGCTCTGGCTGTTGGTACTAGCGCGTGATACAATTAGCATCCGGGCAGGCTGGCATTACAGCAGCAGATCGTCTCCTTCCCACCTAGGGGTTTTAACACCTAGGATTTAATACTGAGTTAGCGGAACACCTTTTCGCCTGATTGTTAATAAGCGCGAATAACAATCACTTTCAGGTGCACTTTACCAGGCCGTATGATCACTGAGCAACAACAGTCTTTGCTAAAAGCTGCTGGTTAGATAGCACATGCCCCAACCAGTTGCCACTCCTACACTGCAGGAAGCCAAGGCGCTAGGCGCTCATAAACAGATAAACTTCCCAGAGAAAACATGAGAATGCAGAGGTAGCTATTTCTAAGGCGCCTCAAAAAACTTCCCAGAGAACATGAGAATGCAGAGATAGCTATGCACACCAGCGCTCGCCAGCTGCTCCATTCTAATCCAGTAGTCTACCAGGCCAGAACACCCAGGAGAAGAGGCTGCTCAGGCCGAACGGCAGGTCATACTCCTCACGCAGGCCTGAGCCCATCCATGCTTCCACCTACACTACTCCCTATGCTGTAACCTCCACCACTACTCTTTATCCCCCGCGCAGCACTCGCCGAGCCAGAACGCCCACGAGAAGAACCTGCTCATTCCGAACGGCAGGCCGTACTCCTCGTGCATGTGAGGGTCCGCCCGAGCCGGGGGTCAGCCCAAGCCGCCTTGAATGCTGCAACCTCCTTAGTCTTTGACCTAGGCTGCTTTTACACACCGAGCCAAAAGACCCAGGAGAAGAACCTGCTCATTCCAAACGGCAGGTCGTAGTCCTCGTGCATGAGAGGGTCAGCCCGAGCCGCCTTGCGTCCGGACCAAACGTAGAGGCCTCGCTCAGTGGCCGTGCCGGGTACAGTGTTGTCGAGGAAGAAAGCAACCATGAAGGCGATTGCCATGGGGAGAGAAAGTAGAGAGTTGAGGACGAAGTTGAGCTGCAGGGAGGGATGGAGGGGCGGGGAGATGAGAGAGAAGGGAGTGAGTGAAGGGGCACGGTGATGTGGAGGAATAGGGCAACCATGGAGGCGATGACCATGGGGAGGGGGAGCAGGGAGTTGAGGACGAAGTTCAGCTACAGGGAGGGATGGGGCGGCGGGGGGAAGAGGGGGAGATGGGGGAGAGTGTGAGCGTAAGAGGCACGGCGGTGTCGAGAAAGAAAGCCACCACGAAGGCGATGGCCATTGGGAGTAAAAGTAGAGAGTTGAGGACGAAGTTGAGCTGCGAGGGATGGGAAGGGGTGGGTAGAAGGAACGGAGAGAGGGGGGCGACTAGGTGGGTGAGAGAGTGAGTGAGGGGAGGATCCGGGGAGGAAGAAAGCAACCATGAAGGCAATGGCCACGGGGAGAGCATGAGGGCTGCTATAAGGGGAAACCCCAAGGCTGCTGCACCCACAGAAATTCTCCACTCACCCCGGAACTGGAGGAATTGACATGCCTGTGCCCATTGGTCGCCGTGTACGTCTTGAAGTAGTCCGGCACGGAGTGAGCGAGGAAGAGCGCGAGGCCCGTGGTGAGGAGGTTGCAAGAGGAGCCGACAGAGAACGAGAACCACTCACCCCAGAGCTAGACGTGTTGACAGGCCCGTGCCCATTGGACGCCGTGTACGTCTTGAAGTAATCCGGCACAGAGAGAGCCAGGAAGAGCGCGAGGCCTGTGATGAGCAGGTTGCGCGAGGAGCCCATCTCGGCGTAGCGCAGCGAGGAGAGGCCCAGCGATGCTGCCATTGACGCCATTACTGTTAACAGCCCTCCCACCATCACTGGCGGCATGGAGGCGAAGAGAGCTCCGACTTTACCTGAGAGCACAGGGAGGAAAGAAGAGGGAAGACAAGGAAGAAGAGGGAAAGGCAGAAGGGGCACGGAGGAGTGAGTGTCGCCACCATGCACCCCTCACACCTTTCCCACCACCCAAAGCTCATCCTCTGCCCTATTTTCTCCCAATGCTTCCCTCCCTGCGCCCCTCTCACACCCACTTATTCGTTTCCCTCAACCTCAATCCTGCCAACCCCTTTCCCCAAGCCCCACTTCCCCCCCTTCCCCCCCCCCACCTACCAAACATGGAGAAGAAGACAAGGAGTGCCGCCCCGACAATAATTGTAACGCGCGAGCCCATTCTGGTAACCGCAACCAGGTGGATGTTCTCTGTGAGCGTGGTGGCGCCAGCGCCGGTGCCCCACATTCCCGCCAGCACGCTGGTTAACCCCTCGATGCCGATCCCCCTGCTGACTACACCGCCTGTTGGGGGGCGGGCAGCCACCAGCAGAGAGGTCGCATGGTAGTTGCTGACCTGAAATTAGAAACAAAAATGGAGTCGGATAAGGAAAATTGAGAGGTTGAGAAGTTGGGATCGGTGGGGGGTTGTGGGAGGAGGGAGTGGGGGAGGGGGGGAGGGGGAGAGTCTCTGCGAGCGTGGTGGCAGCAGCAGCAGCGCCGGTGCCCCCCATCCCTGCCAGCACGCTGGTCAGACCATCCATGCGGATGCCCCTGCTGACTACCCCCTCGGTTGGGGGGCGGGCGGCAACCAGTAGGGAAGCTGCATGGTAGTTGCAGGGCGAAACGGAGGTAAGAAAGGAAAGGGGAAATCAGCACGAGGAGAGGGGAGGGGTTGGAAGGCACATGGATGTTCTCTGAGAGCGCCAGCAGGGGAATGATGCCAATACATGGACTCCCAGCGGAATATGGGCAGGCCCTACTGAAACGGGTACAGGGGCGCCACCCACGTGCCATCTGAGACATGCTGGACGCGACTCCTCACAAGGGTTGGTTACCTTCTAACCGAGTCGATTGTGGAGACGAGTGGGGGCAGCATTTTTTTGGCGCCTCAAGACTCATGAGAGCAGGTTCCCTTCTTACCGAGTCAATTGTGGAGACGAGGGCGGGCAGCAGCATAATAAAGATGGACTCCCAGCGGAATATCCGCATCACATACTGAAACGGGTATGGGGACACCACCCACTTGGCACTGACAGGACGGTAGAAGCGTTGTCTTACAGAGTCGATGGTTGAGATCCGAGCCGGCAGCAGCATGATGCAGATCGAGTCCCAGCGGAATATGGGTGTCCCGTACTGGAGCGGGTATGGGGGCGCCACCCACTTGGCATCCAAGTGCACGGTAGAGAGACGAAACCTCCTGGCCTCCCATTCCTTCATTTTGAGGCATCTGATCATTGACTCACCGAGTCGATGGTCGATACAAGGGCCGGCAGCAGCATGATGCAGATCGACTCCCAGCGGAAGATCGGCATGCCGTACTGAAACGGGTACGGGGGCGCCACCCACTTGGCGTCCGACAGCACACTTGAAGCATCTGTGCGGCAGCTGTCCATTCGAGCGACCTTCTCCGCGCACTGCGAGGAAGCGCTATTGAAGACATTGGACGGCGAGCAGTCGGGGTAGCTGTACACACCCGAGAGGGTCAAGATCAGCGCATACAGCCACGTGATTGCCAGGCCCAGGGAGATCTGGAGGGTGGTGGACAGGACGGGAGGGGGGCGACGGAGGCAGAGGGGGGATGGGGAGAGTGTTAGACACGTCGGTGCGGCAGCTGTCAATTCGTGCGACCTTGTCCGCGCACTGGGAGGAGGCACTATTGAACACGTTGGACGGCGAGCAGTCGGGGTAGCTGTACACGCCCGAGAGGGTCAAGATGAGCGCATACAGCCACGTGATTGCCAGGCCCAGGGAGATCTGGGGGAAATGGGAGGAGAGAGCGGGGTGAAGCAAGGAGATCTGAGGTGAGAACGGAAAAAGGGAGGGGTCAAGCGGGAGAAAGGAAAAAGGGAGGGGTCAAGCGGGAGAAAGGAAAAAGGGAGGGGTCAAGCGGGAGAAAGGAAAAAGGGAGGGGTCAAGCGGGAGAAAGGAAAAAGGGAGGGGTCGAGCGGGAGAAAGGAAAAAGGGAGGGGTCAAGCGGGAGAAAGGAAAAAGGGAGGGGTCAAGCGGGAGAAAGGAAAAAGGGAGGGGTCAAGCGGGAGAAAGGAAAAAGGGAAGGGAGGGGTCAAGCGGGAGAAAGGAAAAAGGGAGGGGTCAAGCGGGAGAAAGGAAAAAGGGAGGGGTCAAGCGGGAGAAAGGAAAAAGGGAGGGGTCAAGCGGGAGAAAGGAAAAAGGGAGGGGTCAAGCGGGAGAAAGGAAAAAGGGAGGGGTCAAGCGGGAGAAAGGAAAAAGGGAGGGGTCAAGCGGGAGAAAGGAAAAAGGGAGGGGTCAAGCGGGAGAAAGGAAAAAGGGAGGGGTCGAGCGGGAGAAAGGAAAAAGGGAGGGGTCGAGCGGGAGAAAGGAAAAAGGGAGGGGTCGAGCGGGAGAAAGGAAAAAGGGAGGGGTCGAGCGGGAGAAAGGAAAAAGGGAGGGGTCAAGCGGGAGAAAGGAAAAAGGGAGGGGTCAAGCGGGAGAAAGGAAAAAGGGAGGGGTCGAGCGGGAGAAAGGAAAAAGGGAGGGGTCGAGCGGGAGAAAGGAAAAAGGGAGGGGTCGAGCGGGAGAAAGGAAAAAGGGAGGGGTCGAGCGGGAGAAAGGAAAAAGGGAGGGGTCAAGCGGGAGAAAGGAAAAAGGGAGGGGTCAAGCGGGAGAAAGGAAAAAGGGAGGGGTCGAGCGGGAGAAAGGAAAAAGGGAAAAAGGGAGGGGTCAAGCGGGAGAAAGGAAAAAGGGAGGGGTCAAGCGGGAGAAAGGAAAAAGGGAGGGGTCAAGCGGGAGAAAGGAAAAAGGGAGGGGTCAAGCGGGAGAAAGGAAAAAGGGAGGGGTCAAGCGGGAGAAAGGAAAAAGGGAGGGGTCAAGCGGGAGAAAGGAAAAAGGGAGGGGTCAAGCGGGAGAAAGGAAAAAGGGAGGGGTCGAGCGGGAGAAAGGAAAAAGGGAGGGGTCAAGCGGGAGAAAGGAAAAAGGGAGGGGTCGAGCGGGAGAAAGGAAAAAGGGAGGGGTCAAGCGGGAGAAAGGAAAAAGGGAGGGGTCGAGCGGGAGAAAGGAAAAAGGGAGGGGTCGAGCGGGAGAAAGGAAAAAGGGAGGGGTCGAGCGGGAGAAAGGAAAAAGGGAGGGGTCGAGCGGGAGAAAGGAAAAAGGGAGGGGTCAAGCGGGAGAAAGGAAAAAGGGAGGGGTCGAGCGGGAGAAAGGAAAAAGGGAGGGGTCAAGCGGGAGAAAGGGTTAGAGGCAGAGGGGTGCCCGCGAACGAGGGCGAGAGACGTGGCTGAGGACTGACAGGAGTCAAGGCTGTCAGCATAGTGAGCATGAGTGACGGGGTGACTGCGGAATGACAGGAGACAGGAGGTGCGGGGAGGTGCAGGGACGTGCAGGGAGGTGCAGGGACGTGCAGGGAGGTGCAGGGAGGTGCGTGTCAAGGCTTACCGCGTGGATCTGGAAGAATCTTGAGCCCCAGAAGGACACTCGGCGCAGGTACTGGTGAGGGGGGGAGAAGGACAGGGGGGGAGAGGCAAGGGGAGAGAGAGGCACGGCGAGAGAGAGTCAAGGGGAGGGGAAGGTCAGGTGGAGAGAGGCATAATGGCATACAGTTACAGGGAGGAGAGAGGCAGGGGGAAGGGGCACGCAGGGTAGCTGGAAGACAGCAGAACGACACACAACACATGCATGAGATGCGCATGTGGGCGGGGCACGAATACAGCCAGGCAGGCATGGACACTGCCATACTAGCCAGCTCGGACATGCAAGCATGGACACTGCCATACTAGCCAGCTCGGACATGCAAGTATGGCCGTGCCCATGCCTACCAGAGATGCAACGGATTCTGACAGTCAGTCATATAACGAAAAACCGTCAGATGACGGATTCTACCAGGGCGAAAACAACGATGACGTGACGGCGTGGGTGGGAGCCCCATGGGCATGCATTGGCCAATCACAAGGAAGCGATACAAGAGGAAGGCGAGGTGCCGCGAGCAAGAGCGGAGGTAAAGAGTCCGACGATATGAATGAAATGACAGGCACCAGGGCGAGGATGACGATGATGGTGATGAGATCCGGGAGGGAGCCCAATGGCCACGCATTGGGCTTTGCGACGCCTCTAGAGTCTCAGAGTAAAAAAGTGGCAACACCTACCAGCGCGAAAATGGTGATTATGATGAGCTCTGGGAGGCCAATGGCGACGCATCGGCCGATGACAGGGAAGCCGTAGGAGAGAAACGAGAGGCCGACCGCCATGATGGTGGGCGCCACGACGACAGGGTTGATGAGCCTGAAGTGGGTTTGGGGAGAAAGCGGGGAGCGAGAGTTGATCAGACTGTGGGGAAGGCCGATTGGGAGCTGGAGGAGAGGAAAGAGGAGCTGTGGGGTAAGGCCGATTGGGAGCTGGAGGAGAGGAAAGAGGAGCTGTGGGGAAGGCCGATTGGGAGCTGGAGGAGAGGAAAGAGGAGCTGTGGGGAAGGCCGATTGGGAGCTGGAGGAGAGGAAAGAGGAGCTGTGGGGAAGGCCGATTGGGAGCTGGAGGAGAGGAAAGAGGAGCTGTGGGGTAAGGCCGATTGGGAGCTGGAGGAGAGGAAAGAGGAGCTGTGGGGTAAGGCCGATTGGGAGCTGGAGGAGAGGAAAGAGGAGCTGTGGGGTAAGGCCGATTGGGAGCTGGAGGAGAGGAAAGAGGAGCTGTGGGGTAAGGCCGATTGGGAGCTGGAGGAGAGGAAAGGGGAGCTGTGGGGTAAGGCCGATTGGGAGCTGGAGGAGAGGAAAGGGGAGGGATGGAATCGACGGCCATGACGGTGGGTGCCACAACCATCGGGTTTATGAGCCTGCGCTGCTTGGGAAGGATGAAAAGGGGGGAGACTTTTGAGTCGACTCAAAAGTCACCTAGGATGAAAGGGGGGAGTGTGGACTGGTGAGACTGCTGAGATTGTGAGCCCGTGCAGGTCGGAGCGGGGTGCTTCTGTGAGGCTGTGGTTTCCCGGGAAGGGAGGGCGGGGGAAGACTGACCAGAAGCGACAGGTGATGAAGTTTAACAGCCTCAAGTGGTTGAGTACTCAAGAACGAGTGACATGAGGTGACAACATCGGGGCTTACTCTATAAGGAGCGACATGAAGCCCGAGTAGCCGGCAAGGACTTGCAGGAGAGACGCCACCATCACCGCTCCCATTGTCTCCCTCATCGTCAGGGAGAACCGCTGTAGTCACACGGAATCAAACCAGGTACAGTCACCTCACGCACAATCACACCGCATGCAGTCACAGTACGGGAGAATGGAGGGAACGGTGAGTGGGGCTGAGAGAGAAAGAGACAGTTTGTGAAAGTGTAGCGGAGAGAGAAAGGGAGGACGGAGAGGAGAAAACAGTGCTGATCCGGATATTGAAAACGCCTCAGCCCCTTGTAGCCCGTTGCCCTTAGAGCCGAGAGCTGGCTCCTTCCCCCCAAACCATCGCCAACCTTGAACCGACCTGTCGGCACCAGCATGTTGCCGATAACGATGGCGGGTGCGAGGGACACGAGGGACACGAAGGACGAGTGACACGAGGGACACGAGTGACACGAGGGACACGAGGGACACGAGAGACGCCCCCTGCACCAGGAGCAGGCGCTTCCAGTGCACCCGGGATTTCCTGTCTATTCCGAATGCTCCCTTCGTACCTGTGAGCTGTCGGCGCTGAGGTTTTGGGGCGAGTTGGCGATGACGATGGCTGGCGCGAGGTACACGAGAGACGACCCCTGAACGAGGGGCAGACGCGTGCCGAGCATGACATGCACGATGGTCGCGATGCCCGTTACCATCATCACCGATTGGATCACCGCCGCTGTGTCGAGCTGCACATTGTGAAGGGGAGGCAGGGCTGATCATTATCATTGCAGCACGAGCACGATTGTCGCGATGCCTGTTACCATCATCACCGATTGGATCACCGCCGCCGTGTCGAGCTGCGGGTTGGGGGGGGGAGGGAGGGCAGTTAACGTTGAGGTACGAGCTTCCGAGACGGCTCAAACTGTCCCGACTAGCGGACAGAGATAGCGCCGGGTTGGGGGAGGGGGCAAGGATTGACAGGGTTGGGGGAGGGGGCGAGGAGCGTTGAGTTTGGGGGAGGGGGCGAGGAGAGTCGTCCATGAGCGGTACGTTTTGGGGGAAGGGTAGGAATCCCTCGAGGGAGTTGAGGTGGGAAGACTCCAGATAGGGCAGCGAGTTGATGGCGTCACCGGCCGTGGCTCCCGCTAGCCATTGGTGATTTTTTAGTCGACTAAAAAGTCACCGGCCGTGGCTCCCGCTGGCAATAGGAGCGACCTACACCGTTGCACTTACGTCGGAGCCTCCCATAGCGGGGACGAGTATCATCGGGAACACGATGACGTTCGCTATAAGCGCGACCACGTGCTGTAACGCGTACGCCACCATCCACCCGGCCTCGGGCCTCTCCCGCATCTCATAGTTCATCACACCCGTCCGTTCCATCCCCTCGTCTAAAGCCCCATCGTCTACAATCACATCGTCCATCCTGTGACACCCCTCTTTATACATCATCCCGTCATCACCCCCCATATCCTCCCCCTCCTCGTACCCATACACCCCCTCCGCCATCCGATATTCCCCCTCATACTCCCCCTCCCCCGCTTCCCCCTCCTCCTCCTCCGGATAAGGCGCCACCTGGCTTCCGCCGACCCTTCCCCCGATAGCCGCGCCTACGTACGCGCCTCCGGCCCAGCCCGCCGCTGCCGCTCCGCCAGCCTTCCCCCCACCGTGGCTCGAAACCTCGTCAAACCTTCGCGTGCTTCCCATTCCCGCGTCACTTTCAGAGATCGACGAAACCCCCTCGTTATCGGCTTCCGGTATAGTAGCGGAACCTACGCCATGAGGAGCCGTTGGAGACATAAGACTAGTATTCGTACTACCAGCCCCGATACTGTCGCTACTCGCTTCGCCCCGCTGCGCGACGGGGTAGCGAATCGAGGGCGCCTTCTTGAACGCGGATCGGCCAGGCGGCGGGGGAAGTTGCGGAGCGGCGGCTTGACCCCCCGGCTGCTCGAACCCGTGCGCGCGGCCCCCGTGCCCCCCTTCCCCCTCGTATCCTTCCCCCTGCCCGTGAAACCCGCTCGCTTGATAGCTGCTGCCGTCTGCGCTGCTAGCGCGGGACGGCGAAGCGGGCGTGACTGTATTGGTGCCTTCGGTAACGTCAACGACGCTGCTGTCCCTACGCGGAGACATGAAGCCACTGACCAGTCCCGTGCGCCGAGCCCACGACCCTAGAGCCTGCCGCGGAGAATAAAGACGAGGAATTTTTAAATCATTGTGCGATGCATAAAGTATTCAACATGAAAGCGCGAGGAATCGGGCAATGTTACATCTGTTTTTGAGGCGACTAAAAAAAATACTCCTCAGCCAGTGTTACATTTGTGGTTACATCCATGAAGGGAAATCTAACCTTGGGATTGAAGCCATGGTCTTGTGGAAGAGGGTCCATGCCTGTACGTCTACTGGCGAGCGTGCCCGGTGACGGAAACTAGGGTCTTTTTGAGAATTCTGAAAAACACCCTGCAGAAACTAGGGTCTGTAAAGTCAGATTTCGGGAACCTCGAAATGACCAATAAGTGGATATTACTAAAATCTACGCTATGTCGGCCTATTCCTAAATTAATATTTTCTTGGCCTACAGGAGAGCCGAGGTCATGACTGGATTGTGAGGAAACCAGGTATCGCTGCAAGTAGCAGAGGTCGATCAGGCCACCGATCCGAAATAAATAAGCTCATCCCTAGTCGAGGTGAACTCGCAACCCTAATTGTCCTAGCCTTCTTTTTTCTTTGTAAAAATCTCACGCGACTTGTCAGTCGAGCATGGAAGTCAAGGGAACGGAGAGCAGCAGCTACTAGCTGGAAGGTTGAGGAAATGAAGAGGCGAGGCAAAAGAGAGAAGCTGTAGTACGTAGTGTGTCTGCTTGGTCCGGTATCCCTCGGGATTGCCGTGGCGTATTCTCGATGGTGGGAAGGGAACGAGCGAGCCGCATGTCCTACTGATGAAATCGAAATGCACTCTCGGTTCTGCCCACTGCCGTCGGGGGAAGATCCAGGTTCGGGTCCGGGGGACCGGGACCGCGTGGGGCGCGGCAGGCGCTTCCACTTGCTGTTTGCTCCGCACGGCGTTGGGATTTGCGGAAAGTTGAAGCTTTCTGCAGCCGCTGCCTCGGAAACCCGCTTCGTGCATCATGAACCGCGCGGATTGTCGGGCCTCCACACTTTTTGCTCGCTTCGTGGACGTGAGGAGCCACTAGTTCTTCGCCAGATATCGCCACAGTTGGTCGTAATGGGACTAGAGCTCTGGCAATATGGTAACAATGTCTGACAGTTCCCAGCGCGCAACCAAACCTCCTCGAACCGCTGTCAGTTGGCCAGGGCCTGACCTGACACCACGGAACGAGGAGATGCTGGGAGGCTTCGTCAAAGAGGGCTGCACTTTCAAACGCAACCAGAAACATACAGTGTCAGATCAGTCACTCCATTCACTATTTTGATCAAGTACAATGTCTAAACACAGAAGCTCCTTGCATCTATTCAAAGGGGCTCAATCTCAGCGCTCTAAAGCTATCCTGGAATGAACGACTCAAGCAATTCTCATGAGAACTTGCTATCCTGCTATCACAGTCGCCTACGCTCCTCAGCATCCCCATCCGCAGATGTAGTTGCCTCGGTATTTTCCTTCAAATCAGCCTTCACCTTTGGCCGCCAAAACCTCTTCTGCACAAGCAGCACCTGCTCCTCCTCCCCGTCGATGAACGTCCTCGATACAGGCCCCTTCAATACAACCCACTTGACCGCCTTCAACCGCTTCTCGAGGCGCGAAATAACATTGGCAGTGTCTCGAAAGAGCAGAAGACCCTTGGGGCGAAGGATTCGGTCTAGCTCAAGCAGGAGCGCTTCCAGGGAGCAGCTGCGCTTGAGCACTTGGGACACCGCCCTCCATGCATGGACGAGGTCGTACGTGCGAGGATATGTTGAGAAGGGCTCACACCTGGCATGGGGGGTCAATGTCAAATGGCAGGGACGGTTGGGTAAGAAAATCAACCGATGTCAACATCAGCAGCATATCCCCGAGAGGAGGGAAAAAAAGCAATCAGCAGGAAACATGCCAGAAATACAGATGAACATCCTATTCAGACCACGCACCAGTCGTGGTAGGCCCCAACGAGCCCTTGGTCATGCGCCATAGCAAGATCCGCGCTCTTCACTGCCCTGTGCGGCAGCACTGCATTCATCACCCACACCCCCTGCCCCTGCCTCTGCCCCTGCAAAGCCACCCTATATCCTCCATGGGAATGTACCAGTCGTGGTAGGCACCAACGAGCCCTCGGTCATACACCATGGCCAGCACCGCACTGCTCACCGCCCCGTGGGGTGGCACTGTGTTCATCACCCACACCTCCTGCCCCTGTGCTGCCAGCGCCCCATGTGCAACCCTTCCTAGGTGCAAAGCCCCCCCTACTCCCCACAGGAGCACGTACCAGTCGTGGTAAGCACCGATCAAGCCTCGGTCATACACCATCGCCAGCCCCGCGCTGTTCACCGCCCCGTGTGGTGGCACTGTGTTCATCACCCACACCTCCTGCCCCTGCGCTGCCAGCGCCGCCGCAAAGCCCCCGAAGTGCGCGTTGGTGTCAATCACGTTCCGGATGGAGAAGCGGGGTTTGGACGCCTTGGCCTTGCTGGTGGAGTCCGTGGGGCGGATGAGAACTTGTCCGCCCAGAAGGGAGTCGTAGTCTGCCACTATCTTCTCCCATGCAGCCTGTTAGAATAACAGGGATGGGTGGGAGGGCGTAGGGTTTGTGTAAACGAAGGAACAACAGCATGGCTTGGAACACATGGCATTACACACAGAATGACCCTCACCGCAGGCATCCCTACCTTATCACCATCTCCAGCAGCCCTCATAACTAACGCCAACTCACTGTGTCGGCCTCAAAGTCTGCCTTGGCCAGGCCTAGCAGGTCGATGCGAGGGGACGGGCTCACCAGCCGCTCCGGCCACGGCTGGATCAGCTTGCTCTTCTTGCCTGGAGGGAATGGGTGCAGGCAGGGTCGCGGGCCAAAAGGGGAAAGGGGGGGGGAGGGATTGGAAAAAATACAGTAGATGCAGGATGAAGCGTTGACAGGGGAAACTCGTAGTACCCCAACAATCTCGCTGCTCAAGACTGAACCCGCCTGTAGGTGATGCAAGGGACTGTAGGGGTTGGGCGGTGGGCGGTGATGGGCGGTGGCAGGCGGTGGCGACGGTGACGGGCGGTGACGGGCGGTGCTGGGAGGTGGCGGGGGGTGGTGGGCGGTGGCAGGCGGTTGGCGGGCGGTGGCGGGCGGTGGCGGGCGGTGGCGGGCGGTGGCGGGCCGTGGCAGGCGGTGGCGGGCAGGGACGACGGGCGGTGATGGGCGATGAGGAGTGGTGATGGGCCGTGACGGTGGTGGGCGGTGGGTGGTGGGCGGTTGGCAGTGGGCGGTAGACGGTGGGTGATACCCTAAGCCTAGTTTGCCTCCTCTTGCCTTAGGGACAATATCTTGCTTAGTGAAGAAGACAATATCTTAGTCTTAGGGACGGTGTTGAAGCACGCATGCATGGGCGTGTACCAAGCACCGTTGGGTGACACCTGCGGGGCATCACACCTTGGGGGCTCTGTGTTCCCAAGCGTTAACAGCTCGTCACTGCCAGAGAAGGGTGGTCTCTTGCCTTGGGGAATAGTGCTCCATAGTGTTGACACATGCGTCCATGGGTGAATACCAGGCGGAATTTAGTTTTGAGGCGCCTCAAAACTAGACTCCTATCACGCGTCCATGGGTGAATACCAGGCGGAATTTGGCAACACCTGGCTGGTGACGCACACGTGGGGCACTGTGCTGTGAGGTGTCTTGGAGCAAGAGGCTTATAGCATGTTCAAGGAGGGTAGCAGGTTTCAACATGCTCCCCTTGGGAATGGTGTTGATGCAGGCGTCCATTGGTGTTTACCAGGCGGAGTTGGGCGACACCTGGGTGGCATCGCACAAGGGGGCGTTGGTGTTTCCCCGCTTTGGCAGTTCGTTAAAGCCAGAGAAGGATGGTTGCTTACCCTTGGGAACAGTGTTGACGCATGCGTCCATTGGAGTGTACCAGGCGGAGTTGGGCGACACCTGGGTGGCATCGCACACGTGGGGCTCGGTGTCTGCTGCCCGCTTCTTGATGCACAGATTCGTCTTGGGCTTCTTGAATATGGCCGTCTGCCCGCTCTGTGCCTTCACCTTCCAGCACATGCGGCTGACAGGGCGAACACAAGGGCCGGAATGGAGGGGAGAACGAGACTGGGAGATTGAGAGGGCGAGAAAGGCTGACTGGCAGCAATCAGATGTGGTGCAGCGTGTTTTTGAGAATTCTCAAAAACACCGTACAGCGCAGCCAACAGAGAATAGGCGCACAGCAGAAAGCAGCACAGCTCACTTGAAGAATTCGAGCATGTTCGTCTGCACCTTCTGGTCCTCCTTGGTCTCACACTAGCCATTCTATTTACTCCAGATAGTCTGGTTCTCTTGAGTCGGCCGTGCAAGCTGTATGCAGTAACTAGAAGATAACAGTGCAGAGGCACATATCACAAGCAGCTCCCTCACCCCATGTCCTCGGCAACCCATGAATGCACCACTCACCCCATGAATGCACCACTCACCCCATGAATGCACCACTCACCCCATAAATGCACCACTCACCCCATGAATGCACCACTCACCCCATGAATGCACCACTCACCCCATGAATGCACCACTCACCCCATGAATGCACCACTCACCCCATAAATGCACCACTCACCCCATGAACGCACCACTCACCCCATGAATGCACCACTCACCCCACGACCTTGACCAACCACCCCATGAGTGCGAGCATGTCCGTCCACATCTTCTGGTTCTCCTTGACCTCACTCACACTCCCTTTATTTCTTACAGCCAAGGTAAAAAAGGGGGGGGAGAGCACCACTCACCCCATGAGTGCGAGCATGTCGGCCCGCATCTTCTGATTCTCCTCGTCCTCGCGGTACACAGGCGGTCAAGCCACACGCAGGCAGTAACCGGAAGTTAACAGTTCATAGGCACAGACCATAAGCTGCTACTCACCCCATGAATGCAAGCATGTCGGCCCACATCTTCTGGTTCTCCTCGTCCTCGCGGTACACAGGCGGGGCAGACCACACCCAATAGCCCCCGGGCCTGATCACCCGATCAAGCTCCAACAACAGAAGGCCGTCTGAGGAAAAGGCAAGGAGGGAAGAGGGGGTGTTATGAGGCGCTCTCCAAACAGGCGGTGCATAGGCGGGGCGGACCACATGCAGTACGCGCCGGGCCTGATCACCCGATCCAGCTCCAGCAGTAAGAGCCCAAGGGGTGCGGCTCTCATTCTCCCACTCCTCACTCACTCACCTCTCTGCAGCCAGTCGATGCGGCAGCGGGAGCAGTGCGCCAGGTCGAATGCGAGGGAAGGGAAGGGCAGTCTCTGCGTGCCCATCACCCCCAGAAATGCGGGCAGCCCCCTCTCCAAGGCGAACTGGATCTGGTTCTCGTGCACGTCGTTGGGCGCCACCGACATGGTCAGCACCGAGTGCTCTAGGAGGTACGCGCCAAACGACGCCACCCCGCACCCGATGTCCAGAACCGTCCGGATCTTGCCGCCCACTGAGAAGTTGCCGTTCTCGTCCCCCATCATCTGATCAACAGAGAGCGAAGGACAGAAGTCAATAAAATCCCCGTGTTTGGTCAAGTCAAAAGCCACTGAGGCAGTTCATAATTTCTTTACATGTCGCGATTTTCCCCCGCTCACCTTGCCAATGCGCTCAATGTACTTGTCAGCCCCCCCAGGGAAGTGCGTTCCGCCGCCCGGGAATCGGATGATCTCGCCGTCCACCACCATCCAGTGCTGGTCCGACTTCTCCGTGGCCAGCAGCGTGTGGGGCACATTCGGGCGCCACACCTCGTCCCTGCTTCTGGGCCAGGGGATAGAGGTCTGCAAGGAGGAGGGGAGGGCCCACGGGAAGGGAATACAGCAGAAGAAGAGCAGAGGGAGTCACTTGATCTCGCCGTCCACCGCCATCCAGTGCTAGTCCGACTTCTGAGTCGACTCAAAAATCGACTCAGTACACACTGGTCCGACTTCTCCGTGGCCAGCAGCGCGTGAGGGGCATTGGGGCGCCACATCTCGTCCCTCCTGGGAGGAGAGGGGATGGACGTCTGGGGACGAGGAGGAGGGGAAGGTCGAGAGGGAGCAGGGAATAAGAAACGGTGGAGCGAAATGAGCACTTCAAGAGGAGTGAGAGCGGACGGTGCAAGGGAAAGAAGTTGCAGATCGGACCATCACATCGGCACTACTCCCACCATCACGGCCACTTCACCCACCCTCTCCCTCACGTGTACCCCGCACCTCCCACTGCCGCTCACCTTGTACCCGGGCGGCTGCGGCACGAGGCAGTGTAGCATGGGTTCGTCAGGCGGGCGCCGGGCAGGGGCGCTCATAGTGCTCCATCACCCTCCTGTTCAGCTTCAGCCTTGTGGGCTTGTTCCCCGCCCCACTCTTACCCTAAACCCAAAACCGCGCAGCCTCTCGCCCTCACCTTGTACCCGGGCGGTTGCGGCACGAGGCAGTGGGGCATGAGGTCGTCAGGCGGGCAGTGGCGCTCGTAGTGCTCCATGAACTTGGTGTTGAGCTTCAGCTTCATGCGCTTGTTCCCTGTTCCCCTCACACCTTAAACCCTGAACCGCTAACCCCCTCCCCCTCACCTTGTACCCTGGCGGCTGTGGCACGAGGCAGTGGGGCATGAGGTCGTCAGGCGGGCAGTGGCGCTCGTAGTGCTCCATGAACTTGGTGTTGAGCTTCAGCTTCATGCGCTTGTTCCCTGTTCCCCTCACACCTTAAACCCTGAACCGCTAACCCCCTCCCCCTCACCTTGTACCCTGGCGGCTGTGGCACGAGGCAGTGGGGCATGAGGTTGTCGGGCGGGCAGTGGCGCTCGTAGTGCTCCATGAATTTCGTGTTGAGCTTCAGCTTCATGCGCTTGTTCATCGTGGGGCTCAGACAGGGCACGATTTCCGAAAGCTCTGGGTCGCACGCCTGGGGGGAAGGGCATGAATGAGCAAGGAAAGAGATGATAAAGTGGGGCAGAACTGGTGCTGGGCGTCAGCTTCACGGGCATGTTCGTGGGGGGGCTCAGACACGGGACAATCCCCGAGAACTCTGGGTGACACGCCAGGGGATGAAAGAAATAGGGGGTTGGAGAGGGAGAGCACGAGCCAAGTGTTCGAGCTTCAGCTTGATGCGCTTGTTCATGGTGGGACTCAGACAGGGGACTACCTCCGACAGCTCAGGGTCGCACGCCTAGTGGGGGGGGGGAGGGGGGGCAGAAGGGGCAGCAGAGGCAAAGGCAGGAAGAGCTTGGTGTTGAGCTTCAGCTTCATGCGCTTGATCATCGTGGGACTCAGACGGGGGAATCCCCGATAGCTCAGGGTCGCACGCTTGGGGTTGAAGAAACAAGGGGGCAGGGATGAGAGAGGAATGGGTGAGTGTTGAGCTTCACGCGCCTGTGGGGAGAGGGAAAAGACGGCAGGGGTGGGAGAGGAAAAACAGCAAAGAGTGGAGCTTCAGTCCTAAGTATGCGCTTGCTTATGGTCAGACCGAGGCATGGTACCATCCCCAATGAATCAGCGCCAGAGGCCAGGCTTGAGGTCTGAAAGAAGCAGCAGCAGCAGCAGCAGCAGCAGCAGCAGCAGCAACAGCAGCAGCAGCAGCAGCAGGCCCACCTCGTATTTCTCAACCGGCTTCTCTTCAGCGCCACTCTCCTCGTCCCCATCCTGCTCATCGCCTCCTGTGCTCTCCCCCCTCAGCTTCTTGCTCTTCGCCTTTCCCTTGCTCAGCTTCCCACTCTTCTTGCTGCCCTTCCCCTCCTCCCCCGCACTCTCCTCTCCTCCCTCCTCCGACCCTTCCTCCTCTCCCTCCTCCCCATCCCCTCCCTTCTTGCCTCCTTTCTTCGCCTTCAGCTTCTTCCCACCTCCACTCTCCCCCTCCTCCTCCCCCCCCTCACTAGCTTCCTCGTCATCCTTAACACTCTTCTTCACTTTCCTCTTTACCGTCCCTCCCTCCTCCTCCTCCTCCCCCTCCCCACTCTCCTTCCCACCATCCTCACTCTTCCCTCCTTCCTCCTCCTCCTCTGCCTCCCCCTTCCCAGCCTTCTTCTTCCCCTTCGTACCCTGCACCCCACCCTTCACCCCACCCTTCCCCGCTTCTAGCGCCTCAGAATCCTCTTCAACCTCCGCATCTGCAGTGCTCTCCACCTCCTCTTCCTTCTCCCCCTTCGCATCACTCGCATCCTCTTCCCCCTCCTCCCCCTCCTCCTTGCTCGTCTTCTTCGCTCCTTTCACCTTCTTGCTCGGCTTCTCATCCCCCTCCTCCTCCCCTTCCTCACTCTTCTTCTCACCCTCCTCTTCAGTATCCTCACTCTCCTTCGCTGCTGCCTTCTTCTTTCCTCCTTTGCTGCTCACACTCCCCTCCTCCTCCTCTTCATTTTCTGCCCCCTTCTCCTCCTCCTCTCCCTCTCCCTCACTTGCTTTCACCTTCTTCGATACCTTGCTTTTCGGCTTCTCGTCATCTTCCTCGCTCTCATCACCCTTCCCTCCCTTTCCCTCATCAGTCGCCTCCTCTTCCTCTTCGCTCTTTTTCACCCTTTTCGATTTCATGGAACTCTCTTCCTCCTCTTCCTCACCCTCCTCGCCTTTGCTCTTCCCCTTCTTGCCTCCGCTGCTCCCTTCTTCCTCTTCCTCACCACCCTCCTCCTCCTCTTTCCCCTTACCCTTCTTTGACTTACTCCCCTCCTCTTCCTCGCCCTCCTCTTCCTCTTCCCCCTTACCCTTCACCCCCTTCTTCACACTACCCTCTTCCTCCTCCTCCTCCTCCTCCTTCGCCTTTGAAGCCTTCTTACTGCCGCCCTCTTCCTCCTCCCCTTCCTCCGCCTCCTCCGTTTTGCCCTTCTTCCCACTTGCACCCTTCTCTTCATCCCCCTCTCCGTCTGCATCACCCTCATCCTTCTCCTCCGCATCAGACCCCTTCCGTTCCTCCTCGCCTTCCTTCTCCTTCTCCGCCGCACCCTTGTCCTCATCTCCCTTCTCGCCCTTCTCCTCCTCCTCCCCGTCCTTCGCATTCCCCACCCCTCCAGCATCCCCAACGCCATCACCATCAGCATCAGCAGCAGCAGCCGCGTCAGCAGCCGCCGCCGCCGCCGCAGCAGCAGCACCAGATCGGCTGTGCAGCAGGCCTTCCTCCTCCTGACCATCCCCCCCTTGCGCATCCCCGCCCTGCGCAGCAGCGTCCTTCGCGTCGCTCTCCCTCTCCGCCTGCGCGCGCGCCTTTCCCCCGCCCTCGCGCAGGAGCCCCTTCTGCGCGGCTGATTCGCTGCTCTCCTCCTCGTCCCCGGCTCCCCGTGGCGGCTCCATGTCGGAGTCAGACGGCTCCCTGAAATGAACCGGAACGACAAAAACATTCAAGCAGTATGCGTCACGGTTCTGAACAAAGAGTCTACTGGCCTCGTGGTTCTGAGACAGCTCAAACTCCGGCAGCAGTGCGTGGCAAGGGCATTTGCCGTTACGAAAGGAAGAGGAAAACAGTTTTCATTCAGCATAGATTGAATAAGCGGATCCACGAGATGAGAGCTCACCCGGCGTCCTTCACTGGAGGCAGCTTAAGGCTCAGCTTGTTTGAATCCCGAATCTCCTGCTCCTCCGGCTCCTCCCCCGCTGCATCCGACACATTGGGGCCTCCAAGCCCGTCGCCAGCCCGATCCTGATCCTCGTTCTGAAGGAATAAGCGCATACGACAAAATGTCGCAGAATAACGCGAATCAGGATTGCGGACAGAAATGCGCCCTATGAGACAACACGTGTCCTGATCTTGTGAGTCGCATCAAAATTCGAAAATGAGAGCTTTGAGACAACGCGTGACCTGATCCGGAGAAAATGCTCCAGTGTGGGGAACTGGATTCTAGATTCGGAAATGTCAAGCTGGGAAAGATGGTCAAGTATGTACTCAGACGAAAGACTGACAGGAGTCAAGTCGGACGAAAGACCGACACGTGTCAAGTCGGACCAAAGATCGACACGTGTCAAGTCGGTAGAAGGATCGACGCGTGTCAGTTCGACTCCTGATCCGTAAGGTAAGCCTTCGAGTGGGAGGTTGGAGCAACAGTTGTCTGCTGGAGCCTTGATCAAGCAATACCTTTGAGGAGTATCAGCTTGCCGATATAGACCAAAATTGCACAATGGGAGAAAAGAGTCTCGACCACGATTGTCATGACTAAACTCGAAAGGCGACACGTCGCCTCTTCGCTTCGCGAGAATCTCCTGATTCTGCCATGTCACTCGCTGATTGAGTGTCATGACATAATCAGGTCCTTGGACATCTTCCAGTGCGCGCGATGTCCAAGGATCTGCTTACACGGCTGATTGAGTGTCATGACAGAATCAGGAGATTCTCGCGAAGCGTTTCAAGAAGAATAGAGAGGGATCGTACCACTGAAGCGGTGGGGATCGGTGCCGGCTTGAATCCACTGAAGAGGTAAGCCGCGACGATCACAAAAAGGACGAAGGCGAAGCAGAATGCCGCCAGAGTCCGCCGACCAGCCTGCTGCTGCTGCTGCTGGTGATGGTACTCGCCGAATCGCCTCGCCATCGCGTGGCGACAGAACTGAGAATTTTAACGACGAATATACTGATGCACGCACGGTGGAGCCTTCACCGGCGAGCAGAGACGTAGCACAATTTAGTCAGAGCATCAGCCTGGTAATGGGATCAGCGAGGGAAACCAAGGTTGTAGCGAGTTTGCTATGCTAACACAGCAGATTCAGTTTATGGATCTGGATGATGGATGATGATCCAAGTGAATGCGGATGATGATAGCCTAAGTGGTGAGGAACTCCTCGAGGTTTGTGCAGTAACTTGGGAACTACAGTTTATTTCAGATCTAAATCCGACGGTCGAAACGCACTGTCCGTGCGTTTTGTCTTCTGGTTGGGCGCGCAGATCTCTATGGTGGCTTGGGCTTTGTGGCGTGCGAGTTTCATCTTGCGCCAGCCCCCCTTGCGTCACCCCCCTCGCGCCAGGCGCCGCTTTGCGCCACGCGCAACATCCGCGTGCCCTGGGATGAATCCGCGGGCTGCCGATTCGTCAGCGGATGTTACCGTACCTCGCGATGGCGTTTCGCTCGGCCTTTTGTTGCGCCACGTCTGTACAATTTCGCGTTCTGACATGCTGTGAGTCAAACGAGCGCGACTTTCTAGAGGCACGGCGGGTGCCACCACAAGGGTTGTCCCCTGGTGACCAAATTTGGTTCTGGCACTCCCTTGGTTTTCCACGTGACACCGGAAATGCCAATCGGAAGTCATATTTTGCTGACGAAAACCTCTTCTCCTACTAGCGAAATGTTGAACCAGCTTCACGAGTTTTTCACGAAGGTCGTGAATGGAGCTCAGTTGGCAGAGGCATCAGGCGGCATCAGGCGGCAGCACACCAGCAGTTTCAGCCCTGCAAGGCACTGAACAAGGAACAGGAGGAAGTAAAGGGCCTACTTATTCAAGGCTCCAGATTTTATCAATCTTTATTCTTTCCAGGGCCACCGCTGATCCCTCAGTCGAAGTTTCCGAAGCTACTACTGTAGTGACCCAGCGGCATGGCTCCTCATGGTGATGACTCGCACCGTTCTTGCGGGATTCCCGCTGTCGAAGGCGCTCCCAGTTCCGCGTATCCGATGGTGTCAGTTGACGAGGCTCAGAAGCTCGTTCTCGAACTCGCGAAACCTCTTCCAGCGGTTACCGTTTCGCTGAACGACGCATTAGGATGTGTGCTCGCGAAAGATGTCATTGCGCCCGAGCCGATGCCGCCGTTTCCCGCTTCAATCAAGGCAAGTTGATGCAATTCTGGCCTCTTTCTTGATTCCATAATCGGCGTGAAGCCCCTGGAATTGAAAGGGATTAAGCTGAGTCCCAGGTCGAGTTCTTAACGGGTATTACTCCACGCTGAAACTCTCTCCTTCAGGAGGTTCCCTCGAAGTATCCTATAGTTTCTCCCTTGAGATTGTCTGGAATTATCATCCTCAGGACTCCCGTATTGACGTTGGGATGGCTAAGCTGTGGTGGGATCCGTCAGGCCCAGCGACTGCTAAGTATACGTCTCATCGTTGGGATTCTCTTTCTGATGACAGAATGCCTACCCTGTGGGGGGGAACGATGCGAGGCGAATCTTGAGTCGACTCTCAATGAGGTGACTTTTGAGTCGACTCAAAAGTCACCTTTCTGACGACAGGATGCCTTTCCTGTGGGGGGGAACGATGCGAGGCGAATCTTGAGTCGACTCTCAATGCGCCTCCTTCGAATTTCGTTTGTCTCTGTCAGGATGGCTGCGCTGTGGTGGCATCGGGTGGGCCAGGTGAATCTGAGTCGGCGCTGAATGCATCTCCCCCTCGGTATCTCCTGTGTGTTGTCTCTGTCAGGATGGCTATGCTGAAATGGTGGCATCGGATGGGCCGGGCGAAATCTTCCTTCCAAATCTCCCCCTTTAACGGCAGGATGGTTAGGCTGTGGTGGCATCGGACGGGCCAGGTGAATCATACACCCTACGTATAGATTAATGTTTCCAAATCTCTCTTTTTAACGGCAGGATGGCTACGCTGTGGTGGCATCGTACCGGCCAGGTGAATCATTCACCCTACGTATAGATTAATGTTTCCAAATCTCCCCTTTTAACGGCAGGATGGCTACGCTGTGGTGGCATCGGATGGGCCAGGTGAATCATACACCCTACGTATAGATTAACGTTTCCAAATCTCCCTTTTTAACGGCAGGATGGCTACGCTGTGGTGGCATCGGACGGGCCAGGCGAGTACCCCATCATTGCCGAGGCGCGTGCTGGGGATGATGCAGCCAATGTGGTGGTGACACCTGGCACCGTCGCTTACATCACCACAGGAGGTACGAATCATCCATCACCGAAGTACGTGTGCCAGGAATTCCGGCTGGAGAATCCACTACTTCGGAGAAATTCTGCCTGTTGACATCCTCCCCACTCTATATCGGGATTCACTAAATACCATCCCCACTCTACGTCCTGCCTACTGTACATCATGATGAATTCACCCCATTTCAGGGCCTATCTCTCAGGGAGCAGATGCCGTGATTTAGTTGGAGAGTATGTCCTCCAACTCTGCAGGTTGACATACTTTCCACTCTGTACCGGCATGCCACTCTGGATAATGATTACTCTGCGTCTTATCCCCTCTTCTTCCTCAGGGCCTGTCCCCCAGGGAGCAGACGCCGTGATTCACGTGGAGGACACCCTGCAGGCTGACATAATTGCCACTGTATACTGGCATGCCACTCTGGATAATGATTACATTACTCTACCTCTTATCCCCTCTTCTTCCTCAGGGCCTGTCCCCCAGGGAGCAGACGCCGTGATTCAAGTGGAGGACACCCTGCCGGTTGACTCCTCCAGCGGCCAGAGGCGTGTGACTATAGTGAAGGGCGCCACAGCGGGCCAAGACATCCGCCCTGTGGTGCGTGGAACACTCAACGCCAGGACACCGTTGCTTTGATATCCCTGTCTCCCTCATGCATGTGCGCGCACACACACACACACACACACAGACATACCCCACCACCCCCACCTCCACCACCACTGGTGCAGTTTTCTGACAGATCATGAGAGCATAAGTTGCTCCCCTGTATCTCGCGTCCTTGCCAGGGCTCGGATCTGGCAGCAGGCACAGTGGTGCTGCCGGGTGGAGATCGAATCGGCCCATCGGAAGTGGGGCTGCTGGCAACAGTGGGGGCTGCGCAGGTGCAGGTGGGTGGTTTGCTTGCTTTCCCTCGCACTGTTCCTTTTGACCTGACTTGCTTATCATGCAGCGTGCTTGCTTAGGGCACCCATGTTCTATGCAACACGCCTAAAGCCCCTCCTCCCCGCCCTCTCCCCTCCGTCCTCACATCTCTCTCTCTCTCCTGTCAGGTGCACCGCCAGCCTTTGGTGGCAGTGCTCTCCACAGGCGACGAGCTCATAAACCCCACGCTGCACCCATGCTCCACTCCATTGCTAAACTCTAGATCCGCGCCTCAAAACTAAACTCCAGACCTTCAGCATTCCATGCTTCTCCCCCCATCCTCTCAGGCTCATCGCCAGCATCTGATGGCAGTGCTCTCAACAGGCGGTGAGCTCATACACCCCACGCTGCACCTAGGCTTGACCTCATTGGCCCCCACTCTCCCTTCCTTCCTCGCTCCCTACCTCTCTCCCCCTGCTTTTGGCAGGTGCATCGCCAGCCTCTGGTGGCAGTGCTGTCCACAGGCGATGAGCTCGTAGACCCCACGCTGCAGACAAGCCCTACTCTCCCTCGAGGCATGGTAAGTTGGCAGGTTTGAGAAGTCTCCCAGCGGCCTTCCTGCTGGGAAGTCTCCCAGCAGCCTTGGCCCCGTTGATGAGAAGTCTCCTAGAGAGGTGTTTCGCTCGCGCGTTTTCCTTGCGACTCCTGACGGGTTGTCCATACGAAACCTTCCCTCCCTACCCCTGTGGATTTTCCCTGCAAAGCCCCCCTTGCGGGTTTTATTTTGCGGAAAACCTTGCGGGTGTCTTCTACAGAACCCCCCACAGGGGGTTCCCTGTGGGGGAACCCCCGCCACAGGTTTTCGCCGCAACCCCCCTTGCTGGCTTTTTTAACGCACCCCCTTGCGAGCTTTCCCTGAGCACCACACGGGCTTGTACTTCTTGCCGTGGGCCTGTGATGTGCGCTTGTCTCCCCTCTTCCTCCCTCCCCTGCTCCTCGCAGATCCGGGATGCCAATCGCCCCATGCTCTTGGGGGGGTCAACAGGTGCAGCCGTTGGTGCAGTACAGCATGAGCATCATCTGCAGCACCTCTGATGTGCGCTCGTCTCCCCTCTTCCTCCCTCCCCTGCTCCTCGCAGATCCGGGATGCCAATCGCTCCATGCTCTGGCTGCTTCTACGCCCTTCTCCCCTCTTATGTGCGCTCTTTTCCCCTCTGATGGGTGTTCTCGCCTGCCATCGTCCCCTGCCCTTCCCAGATCCGGGATGCCAATCGCCACATGCTCTTGGCTGCTGTGCGGCAACACCTGGGGGGGTCAACAGCTGCAGCTGTAGGAGCAGCAGGAGCATCAGCATCAGCATCTGCAGCAACAGCAGCCTGCCCATCCCCCCTGGATCTGGGCATAGCAGCGGACACGGAGGAGGCCGTAGCAGCAGCCTTTCAGCGGGCGCTAGCAGCGAGGGCGGATGTGGTGGTGGCGTCTGGAGGGGTGTCCATGGGCGATAAGGACTTTGTGAAACCCTTGCTTGAGAGGCTTGGTACTGTGCACTTTGGGCGGGTGAGTAACTGATCTTTGAGTCGACTCTAAAATCACCTCAGGCTTGGTACTGTGCACTTTGGGCGGGTGAGTAACTGATCTTTGAGTCGACTCTAAAATCACCTCAGGCTTGGTACTGTGCACTTTGGGCGGGTGAGTAACTGATCTTTGAGTCGACTCTAAAATCACCTCAGGCTTGGTACTGTGCACTTTGGGCGGGTGAGTAACTGATCTGGATGGCAGGGGGTAGTTTGCGCGCTAGCAGCGAGGGCGGATGTGGTGGTGGCGTCTGGAGGCATGTCCATGGGCAATAAGGACTTTGTCAGACCGCTGCTGGAACGGCTGGGAAAGTTTTAGAGAATTCTCAAATACACCCTGCACTTTTGGCCGAGTTTCTTTCGGGGGGGGAAGGGGAGACGGTGTCCAGGGGGGTGGTTTCCATGCAGTCGACCTCTGAACGAATAAAAAACAACTGACAGATGCCCCTACTTGCTCTCCTCTCCCTCTCTCCCCTCTCTTCCCTCCCTACCTCTTTCTTTCCTTCCTCTCCCTCCATGCCCTCCGTTATTTTTACTCTCCTTCCCTTCCCTCCCTTCCCTCCTCTCTCTGTCCTCTCATAGGTCCACATGAAGCCGGGGAAACCTCTCACCTTTTGAGTCGACTCAAAAGGCATCTTTCTCCCTCCTTCCCGTCTCTGCCCTCCCACTTTCTTTTTTCTCATAGGTCCATATGAAGCCAGGCAAACCTCTCACGTTTGCAACCATCGAAACCCCTTCAGACAAGACAGATGGCGCTGCCCCGCCGCACCGAACGATTGTTTTCGGGCTGCCCGGGAATCCGGTCAGCTGCATGGTGTGCTTCAGCCTGTTTGTGCTGCCCGCCATTCGGCAGATGGGGGGGTGGCGCGAGCCCCTGCTGCATAGGTAGGAGGGAAGGTGGGGGGGAGGGGGAATGTGCCGGAGGTTGAGGGGAAGGAAAGGAGGGGAAGGGTAGGGGGGAGGGGGAATGTGGCGGGTTATTGCAGTGGCTTGTAGGGCTTGGGGCAAGGGTTTGGCTCAAGCAGCTGCTCCATAGATGTGTGTGGGAAAAGGGGGGGAAGGAAGTCTACGGGGAGGTAGTCTAGGGGGAGGAAGTCTAGTTTTGAGGCGCCTCAAAACTGGCTTGGGGCAAGGGTTTGGCTCAAACAGCTGCTCATAGATGTGTGTGGGAAGGGGGGGGGAGGGGAAGGGGTGTGGGGCTTGAGACACTACTATTGTCTTCCTCCCTCACCTGTTCCATCCCTCCCCTTGAGCTGCCTGCTCGAGCAGCCTGCTCGATCTGCCCCAGGTGCAGGGACCCTCCTCATCTATTCCCCCCTCACCAGTGCCCTGCCTCCCCTCCCCTCTCCTCTTCCCAGGGTGCAGGGCCTACCTCTCCTCGTCCCTCTGCTTGGACCCTGAGCGTCCCCAGTACCACCGGGTGTCCCTCCGCTGGGAGCCCAGCATCACTGCAGCCATTGGCTCTTCTCCTCCTGCTGCCAGCGCTGCCGCGTCTACCGCTACTGGCTTTGTGGCGGACAGCACGGGGCGGCAGATCAGCAGCCGCCTGCTCTCAATGCGCTCGGTGCACTGCGTGCTCGAGCTGCCCCAGGTGCAGGGATCCCTCCTCATCTGCTCCCCCCCTCACCACTTCCCTCCCTCCCCTCCCCTCACCACGTTGCAGGGTGCAGGCCTACCTCTCCTCTCCCCTGCGTTTGGACCCCGAGCGCCCCGAGTACCACCGGGCGTCCCTCCACTGGGAGTCCAACATGGCTGCAGCTGTCGCCTCCGCCCCAGCCACGCCTGGCTTCGTGGCGGACAGCACGGGGCGGCAGATCAGCAGCCGCCTGCTCTCCATGCGCTCGGCGCACTGCCTGCTCGAGCTGCCCCAGGCGCAGGGGTCCCTCCCTGCCGGCTCCCTTGTCTCCGCACTCCTGCTGCCGGATGCTGCTGCCTCGCTGGCGCAATCCCATTGGCCGGTGGTGAAGAGTGACGGGGCGGGGGCTGTGAGAGGGGAGGGAGGGACGGGAGGCGGGGAGGGGGAGAAGCATGGGTGTGGGTGCAGCCATGGGGGTGGAAAAGGGCATGGCCATGGGCATGCGCATGGGCATGGGGCTGGTAATGCTTCCGCTCCTGCAGCTGGTCCTGCGTCGGCTGCTGCTGCCTCTCCTCCGGTTGCTACGGCTGCTTCTTCTTCTCCTGCTGCTGCGTCTACTGTGGGTGCGGGTGTGCGTGTGGCGATTCTGACTGTCAGTGACACAGTGGCACAAGGATTGGCAGCAGACGCGAGGTGAGATAAAGAAGTGCCGGTATCGAAGTGTCCTTATACGTCCTTAGAAGTGCCAGTATCAAAGTGCCCTTATACGTCCTTAGAAGTGCCACTATCAAAGTGTCCCATTGCATGCATTCTGTGTCCTTGCCTAAATAGAGTGAGCGACGCTCTCCCTGCTGCCAGAAGTGCATATTCTTATCCCTCCCCCCTTCCTCCTTCTTTTCCCTTCCATTCTCCCCCCCCCTCCCCCCCAGTGGCCCCAGGGCAATATAGGCACTGCAGCCTCTGCTCCCAGCAGCAGCGGTGGTGGCGACGGCAGTGGTGCCTTTTGACATATATGTCACTAACACCATGCCCTTTTATGCCATCTCTCCAACGCATTACCCCCTCTCTTCACCCAGTGGCCCCAGGGCGATACAGGCAGTGCAGTCGCTGCTCCCAGCAGCAGCAGTGGTGGCGACGGCAGTGGTGCCTGATGATCCAGCCAAGATAGCAGCGCAAGTCAAGCTGTGGGCGGATGGGGAGGAGACTCTCGAGTCATCTGATGGGAGCACTGCTGCTGCTGGCGCTGCTGCAGGGGGCAGCCACGCTGCGGGTGTGGGGGCGGTGGATGTGATTATAACGACAGGGGGCACGGGGTTCTCTCCCCGGGATGTCACTCCTGAGGCCTGTGCGCCACTCTTTCACCGCTCTGCACCGGGCCTCACCCATGCCATGCTGCAGGAGAGCCTCAAGGTAGGGTGGATGCTTCATTCGGGAAAGGGGGAGGGTGTTGAAGGGCTCCAAGAAAGGGGCACTTGGGGTAAGGGGAGAATGTGTTGGCATCAGGGGTCGAAGGAGGAGTTGAAATTATGCGTCGTGTCTGTGTAAAGGATTGGACGAAGGGTTGACAGCCAGATTTCAACTCCTTGCCTGGACAGACAAGCCCGTTCTCGTGGGCAGCCTTTGCCCTCTCTTAACTGTTCCTGTCTCTTCTCCTCTCCCTAAACACTGTGCTTCTTTGCTCACTCCTTTCGCCATGCACTCCCACATGGATTCTGTGTGCTCTTGAGAGCAAAACACTCCTCTTGTTCCCTTGCGCCGATTCACAACCCCCCGATACAGATCACGCCCTTCGCAATGCTCTCCCGCATGGCCGCAGGCATCCGGGGCTCCACTCTGGTGAGATGAAGGGCATGGGTGCATGCGTGTATGCGTGCACGATACACGGTAGGGACGTGCATGGGTGCATGGGTGCTGGCATCCGGGGCTCCACTCTGGTGAGATGAAGGGCATGGGTGCATGCGTGTATGCGTGCACGATACATGGTAGGGACGTGCATGGGTGCATGGTTGCTGGCATCCGGGGCTCCACTCTGGTGAGATGAAGGGCATGGGTGCATGCGTGTATGCGTGCACGATACATGGTAGGGACGTGCATGGGTGCATGGTTGCTGGCATCCGGGGCTCCACTCTGGTGAGATGAAGGGCATGGGTGCATGACGTATGGTGTATGGTCTATGGTGTATGGCGCATGGTGTTCGGTGTTTGGTGTTTACTGCCCCCACTTTGCACCCCTCAGGTCCTCAACCTTCCAGCCAATCCCAGCGCAGTTACCGAGTGTCTCACCGCTCTAATACAGGCTCTACCCCAGGGCTTGCGGCAACTGAAAGGGGACAACTTCAAGAAGAACCCCCACTACACATCTTATCCCACCCTGCCTTCCCTCTCTGGTGCTTCCCTTGGCCCTACCATGTGACCCCTTCAGATTCTGAACCTTCCAGGCAACCCCAACGCGGTTTCAGAGTGCCTCGCCGCTTTGATGCCGGCTCTACCGCATGGCTTGCGGCAACTGAAAGGGGACAAGCGGGAGAAGCACCCCCGCCACACGCCTCATCCTGGCATAGCTAAATGAAGAAGGATGGCAAGGAAAGCAAATTCGAGGCTTGTTTCTGAGAACTAGACGTTTCTTTTCTCTAGTTACTGTGTTTAGTAAATCACACCCCACGCCCGTTAAACATATTGAGAATCTCTGGTGCTTGTCGCTGCACAGTAAAGCCTGGCGGGGCAGCCAATGTCGAAGCATTGGTTCCACGCTGCGAAATGCGTCATGCAGTATCAACCACTCTCGCATGCACCAGGTCAGACTCACCTGGTCATAGCAAATTCCGCGAATTCTGCACTAGCGTCGATCGAGTTTAGGCTGTCGAGGATAGGTGCAGGGCTGACGTTTCAAAAAAAAGCACCCTGAGCTGTCGAATGTGGAAAAAAAATTACCCTGAGGGCCTAGTGTTGGAATTTTGACTTCCCTGATTTCTCAGTGTTCTGGAACTTACAACCCTAAAACCTCCAGGGTTGGCTAGCAACAACCAGGGTTGCATTGCATTTGGAAAAAATCAACTAGGAATGTACAGCTACTAGTTAAGTAAAAGCACCACTACGCCACGCCAGTCTACAAGTCCTCTATCTAGTCTAGACTTCACAATATTCCACGCCACTAGCTACACTTGACTAAAATTCTGGGCAATCCATGTTCACTTCGTCTTCTGCCTCGTCATCGGACAGAAAGGGGTTGTCTTCCACTTCAGGAGGAGCCTCTCCCCCCACTCCCCCCTCCCCCTCTCCCTCATCCTCTGCCCAATCCCCCATGTAGTCAGGGACTGCCTCCTCCTCCACCCTCACTTCTGCCCCCTCAATCGCCTTCGCCTTACGCTTCCTCTCCGCTGCGGCAAACAAAACAGACTTAGCAGGGCGCCTCAGCTTCTCGCGCCAACACCCAAGGGCCTCGTCCCAGTCAGTCTCGTACTGCAGCAGGGAAATGACCATCAGCTCGCTGAGGCGCGCATTGCACAACGCGCCCCGCACCCATGACTTGATGACGTTCTGCCGTGAGAAGCCTCGTTCACACTCCACTGTGCTAAGCGGCATGACAGCGCACGCCTGCCACAAGCGCATGAGGTTCGGCCAGCGCCTGCCAAAAGGGTTGGGGGAACAGAGTACACGGAACAAGACCAGTGCATTAGCGATGCTAGTCAACAATCGATAAACAACAACATCCAAAGGGAAGAATAAAACCGCCCAAAAAAAATGCAACAATCGTCCTTCGAGCAGCACTCTCTCACAAGGTCGACTCCGTCGAGCCGAGGTAGTTCGTCAGGCCTTGATGGAATCCCTCGTCGGCATGGTGGCTCAGCATCAGTGGCGCCCACGTGACCAGCTCCTTCTGCGCAGCTTGCAAGGAAAGCCTGTCAGCCTGTTGTCGAACAAGGCACTGCAGCCATGTAGGTACTCCTTCAGCTTCTTCTCTCTCTGCTGCTTCATCCGGGGCCACTTCGACACGCGGAAGAGCTTCGTCGGGCCGAGATTGTTCAGGTCCAGCATCCTCGTCTTCAGGAAGCTTATCGTGTCCTTCGCGAACTGCGCGCAGAGCCGCTCGCAATCGGGGTACTTGCTGCGGAAGGCATGCCCGTCGATCTGCTTCTCGTGCATGGTGTAGGTGTGCGTGACTGGGTTGCCGTCCTTGTCGATGCCCCGCACCTTTACGCGTTTGCCCCCTCCGCGCCCGTAGACCGCCAAGAAAGCCGAAAGCCACGTGCCTTCGACACCCCCACCGAACACCTCTCCGCACTCCAAGTAGCGGTGGCGGAGGTCCCCTGTCGCCTCGTCGATGTCCTTTGTCACTTCGGTGACATCGACCTGATGGAAGTGATAGACAAGGGAGTGGAGTCAGAGGGTGATTCCAAACGTGGATGCATGGGACAAAAACTACAACATCCACAGTGGTAGAAGCTCACCTCCCTCTTCTGGAATTTGAGGTTGAGCTCATTCATCACTTCGAGCACGTCCGCCAGGAAAAAAAGACAGAACTGGAACTTGTAACAGATGACGACCTCATACAGCTCATGCCCGTACTCATAAAAGAGAATGATAGCGGCGCCAAGGACCTTACAGAGGCGCCTCACAGCCTCACCCCTTGAAAGCCAGCGCACGGTGTGAATTCCTTGCACTTCAAGGTTGGTGTTGTGTATTGCCCGCTGCAGGTACTTGAAGCGTTGACTCCAGATACATGAACATCCCAGAAGATCGGCCAGAGTCCGAATCACAAGGTCGACCATGCCGAAGTCTGGAGAAGCAGTGGCCGCGTCCTTCACCGCCAAGGCTTCCCTGCATGGTGCACATGAAGGAATTTTAGACAAGCAGTTGTAGGAACTCTAAGCGACTGAAATGATGTGCGGTTAAACCTGTGGGCGATGCAGTGCGACGAGAGGTGGGGGATGTGCTCGCGAAGTCGGGCGACGAGACCATTGTCTCGGCCGACCATGACAGAGGCGCCGTTGGTGCTCATGCCGGTGATTCGGGAGAGGTCGATGCCAGTTGCTCGCAAGTGAGCCAGAAGAACGGCGAGGAGAGACGCGGCATCGCACTTTTTGACGGTCAAGAGAGCAAAAAACTCTGTGACAACACGATGCGCACGCAAGAAGGTCAGATAAACAATAAGATGTTTACCGTGAGTACGGTCAGAGCTCTCGTCGCAGCTGATGCCGAGGTAGGGTGAGGCGAGAATGTAGTGCATTTGTCGGCGCTGCAGGTAGGTTGCCAGGCTGCTGACGAGCTGACAGAAGCCATACCTGTAGTACCAGAAGTGACAACAAGGTGTTGGTTTGACCTTTTTGAAATATGAAGGACATGGTGTACTTCGAATAAGTGCATTACCGTGTCAGGTAGACTCCGTAAGACTGCAGCGGAATGTCCGGTGTCTCCTGCTCGGCCATGAAGCGGAGTAGCCTCGGGTACATGCTGATGGGTGCATCACACTTGCACAGGAAGTCGACGCAGTGTAGGAGCCTCATGACGCGCTTCCCCTCGATGTCAATCCGCGCGTAATTCTCCATGCGCCTCTGGGTGCTGGCGATGTCTTCGGCGATCTCCATCTGACGCTTGACTGCTACTTCGTGGGCTGTCGTGTGTTCGTGGAACCGCATCGCTTGCGTCTGCAGGTCACGTGCCCCGTCGCGGCTGTTGGAGTACGGTGTTGTCTCTTTGCCGAAAGCCTTGCACACACTGCACTTCAAAGCAGGGTAACCGTCTTTCGTTTTCGTTAGTAGAAGCCAAGGGAAAAATGGAAGCCAGCTGGTCTTATACTTGTGCTCAGCCATGAGATACTTCTGCTCGATGAGTTCCTTCTTTGAGAGATTCGGCGGCTCGGGTTCTGGAATACCAGGGGCCTGAGGTTCAGGCGACGTGCGAGGCGGCGACCGTCGATGTAGCTTCCCGCCGAGGACTATCGTGCTCTGGGTGTACTTCCCGACGCGTGCTTTCTTCCCAGATGAAATCGTCGACGCACACTCGACCGTGTAACGCACGATCGTGGCTGTCTCGCAGTCTGGAACCAAAGGGCCCCGGCTAGATGAGGCGACAGCGGGCGGAGGTACATAGGGAGCGGCGGGAGTAGATACGGGTTGTGATGGTGTAACGACTGCGGTGGGAGACCGCAAGTTGTCTAGAGCGGATCTACGGACCTCCACGGGGGGTCCCTACCTAGTCCAGAACCATCATCGGCAGTGGGAGACTCACTAGAGTCTCCTACATCCGCCATGGCTAGAAGCGGCGGATATGATGGAAATGAGAAATCGGCGCGACGAAACTAGAGGAGACAGAAGACTGGAGCATCTCGTAGCTGTGACGTGAAGAAATGAAAAAAACTGGGTTGGAGGAGGAGCTGGTGAAGAAGACGGGAAGAGGACCAAGAAGCCCCATCTTTCGAATTTCATGGATGGTGCATAACCCATCCAGGTTCCCGTATTGCCATGGCGATACCGTCAACGGCGAGACGCACCTGCGCTAGCATCGTCTGCACAGAGATGATTGGCGGGGTGATGTCATACAGAGGCTGACATTGCCGCACTCATCATATTATGTCCTCGTCTGCTGGGTGTTGAGTCACGAATGCCAGTTGACATTACAAATGTTGCTGTAATGGCAACATACAGCGTGTACACTGCGGGAATCTTGCTGAGTGCAGATTCCCCACGTGACGCATGCTGGGCGTGTTCAATGGACTGGGCCCCGTCACGCGTAAGGGGGCCATTTCGAGGAAACTCAGGGTCCGCATGGATGTCGCATTCAGGGTTCGTACGCATTACTCCCTGAAAACTCAGTGTTGGGATAACGCAAACCCTGAAATTTTAAGTGTTCACAGACATACAACCCTGAAGAGGTTAGAGTTAAAAAAAACCCAACCCTGAAAATTAAGGGTTGGCAAAAAAAATACCCTGTGAAATCAGGGAATCGGGGTAAAATACCCTGATAACGACAGGCGTGGATAGGTGGCGTGTTCTGCCTCTTCCTTTTGTGCGCGTTCCGCAATCGCTCTCGTCCACCAGCCATATGGATGCGTCGGCCTTCTGTCTTTCCCTGCGTCGCCGAGTCATTTTCAAGCACGGGCGAAGCGTGAGGAGTCTATTTTTGAGGCGCCTAAATAATAGATGGCTTCTGTCTTTCCCGGCGTCGCCGAGACACTTTCAAGCTCCGAAAGGGCGCGAGTACGGGTGGATTGTATAGTGAGGGGCGGCTTTTATAGCACGCTGACATGAAGATCACAAAGTCGCACCGTCTTGAAACGGGTATGTTTTCGACGAACTCTGGGCACCTCGACTCAAATATTCCCGTGATCTCGGGGTGTATGGATTCGCCGGATGGCGCGGCTCTGCAGCGCTACAGCCACCGTTTACCCTGTCGGGGAGGGGGCTCGGAGATTCGGGAAGGTGGCTTGGAGATGGGCGAGGGGGACCCTGAAGGAATGCTAAAGCGAGAGCGCTTGTAAAGTGTGGAGCGATTCTGACAGAGTAACGGTATTCGAATAGCGTGCTAGGTGCTGGTGGTATTTGGGCAGAGTTCGCCTTAAGTACTTGGTCAAAATTCGAGTAGAGTAGTTCACTAGAAAAGTATATATTCAAATTACAAACAAGCATGCAAATATATAGGCAAGTGCAAACCCAACCAAAGTTGCGAGGCGCTGCGGGTGTAACCAACCACCCCGAATTTGTCGAAGGGTTGGGCGAACGCGCCTCGCCCAATTCTCCAACCCAACCCAGCAAGGTTGGGTTTGCCGTGTACGCAACTCCAACCAGCAAGGCAATCGTTGCCTTGCTCCGCACGGAAGTCCATCGCGATAGCTACGACTACTCATGACTCGTCAGAGTAATTGGTCGTCGTGGGAATCTCCGGACCAGTCCACACAAACTAGACTTAGTCTTCGGATGCAAGGATTAGTCCGTTCACCTTG